TCATCTGATCCAGTGCGAATAAAAATCAATATAAATTTTTTGATATTTCTGTTTCTTCCTGTATGTTATCTATCATTTACTCCCATATTTTTATGGTGTTGCTAAGTGGTTTTGTGGCCCTATAATTTGTACATAATTAATTAATTCTTACCAGCTATTCATCCATTAGCAAGTAAGTGTTAATTTAAATGTCAATTCGAATGTGTTCTAAAAAATATGTGCTGTCATCTCCAATATGAAAAGGAAACGTAACCTAATGTATTTATTAATTTTTAAATTATTTTTACTGAATGTTTTGTAACAGTATAAACGTCCCATGTACGTCCCATGTACGTCCCATTTTTATGTAAATAATTATTTTATTACAATTTCTGTTGATTTTATTAATTTTTTAACTTCCTGTTTTGTCTTACAATTTTTATTCTAAAAATAGTTAACACCCAAACTTCTATCTACCAGATTTAGTGAGGTGGAATTTAGGCTATTTGATTGAGATCTTTTCAGATCCATTGTGGCCACTTCTATCTAGAGATGTGTAGTTCAACATCCAAATAGTTCAAATGAAAGATCCTTTCAACTGAGCTAATTGAACTAGTTCATTTATTTTCATAGAACTAGCCTTGACAGCAAACTATCAAATGCGGAAGAATGCACCTTTTATGAAATCTATGAGAATGTTATCGAAAGTCTAAGAAATGCCACCAGAGAAGCAGTAGGAATAAAGGCAAAGCAGATCAACAAAAAATACTGGTGGAACGAAGATATAGAGTTACTAGTTCAGAAAAGAAAAATATTTAAAATGGTTGGCAACAAAAAATGAACAAGATCTGGAAGATTAAAAACAAACAAAAAGACAATTAAGAGCGGGCATTAATTTAGCTAAGAACGAGACGTGGGATAAAAAATGTGAAGAAGTTAACAATTATATCGGAGGAAGGAAATGCTCGGAGGTATAGAAATTTATATCAAATGTCAAAAACCCAGCAAAAGACAGAGCAAATATCCAGATAATCAAACCGTAGCAGTGGATACAACACTACAAAGGTCTACTACAAGAAACTAGACAGAAATACATGATAGAATCTCCAAAACATTTTGTAGTAAATGGAGAAGAAGTAGAGGTATCCGAAGAAACAGTAAAAAAGACAGTTTTGAACCTTAAGTTAGGGAAAGCTAGCGGACCAGAAGGGATTTTCTCCGAAATGTTAAGATGGGGAACGGAAAAACTCTTTAGAAATCTAACAATAATTATCAATAAATGCCTTAATGGACATCCTGTTCCAGAAGACTGGAAAACAGCTTATATATCATCCATCCATAAAAAAGGAAATAAACTGGAGTGTAACAACTATCGAGGCATATCAATCACGAGTACACTGAGCAGACTATACAGTAGAATACTGCGAGATCTAATTGAAGAAGACTATAAAGAAAAAGAAGAAGAAGATCAAAGCGGCTTTAGAGCAGGTAGATCGTGTATCGACAACGTATTTTGTCTAAAACAAGTCATAGAGAAGAGATCTACTAGACATCTGGAAACCCATCTTACATTTGTGGACCTACAAAAAGCATATGATACAGTCCCAGTATCGAGACTGTGGAAGGTATTAGAACAAACGAACATCAATCACAACTATATAGCTGCACTTAAAGAACTGTATGAAAATTCACAATCAAGAATTAAGATAGGTAAAAAACTCACAGATGCCCTCATAGTGAATAAGGGACTACGTCAGGGATGTCCTATCTCTCCTACACTATTCAAAATATATGTAGCAGCGGCACTTAAGAACTGGAAAAGCAAAATACATGGAATTGGTATAGAGATAGATGACAGATACCTGTTTACTCTTCAGTTTGCAGATGATCAGGTCATAGTGGCCAATGACAAAGACGACATGCAATATATGATTAGAAAGTTGATAGAAGAGTATGAGGAATGGGGCTTGACAGTTAACGTAAATAAAACGAAATATCTATGTGTAGGCTCTCAGAGCGAAAATTTGGAGTTGGACAACGGTCAAGAAATTCTGCAATGTCAAGAATATGAATATTTAGGTATCACATTCGACAATACCGGAACAGATGTGAAAGAGATAGAAAAACGAATAGTTACAGCTAAAAAGATAATAGGATATCTGAATGGCATCTTGTGGAGCAAGGAGATAACAAAAAGGAGAAAATTTAATATATACGAGACAATGGTTAAAAGCAGCCTATTGTATGGAGCGGAAATATGGAGAATTCCAGACAGACAAAAAAAAAAAGGTAGAGACAGTCGAAATGGACGTGATAAGAAGATCTATGCGAATCTCACGAAGAGAAAGAATGAGGAATGACCATATAAAACAACGAATGGTAATAGGGTACGATAATTCAGGATATCGAAAAGAAACAACTTATGTCCTGGTACGGACACGTAGAGCGAATGCAAAATACTGGATGGCCTAAAAAAATACTGAACTGGACCCCAATAGGGAATAGAAAGCGAGGAAGACCTAAACTAGAGTGGCAGCAAAACATAAAAAAGTCAATGAGCGAACGGAATCTATCAACGGAAGATTGCCACGATAGAAGAGGATGGAAGTTAGAAGTCGGACAACGGAGAAGGACGTTCTAAACCAGCATATATATATATATATATTATATATATATATATATATATATATATATATATATATATATATATATATATATATATTGTTATGATATGTAAAATCAAGAAAATATCGGTTTGTTTAAAAATATTTCAAAGTCCAAAAAATTAAAATAATTCAGATAAGTAGGATAATAACCAACAAACATTTCGAAGAAGGAAAGTCTTTAAATTTTTGGATTACCTGTATTAAACAAAACGTAAGCTATGCATAAATTATTGTCTTTGTTAAAATATATTTGTATGACGTGAATAAGCTTAAGTGAAATAAAAGACAATTGAACCGGGTTTTCCAAATACATTAGTGCAGTTGATTAGGACAATAGAATAGATTTTAGAAAGATAGGTTTTTGTTAGTTTTTAAGAATTGTAGAAAAATATTATTTGTAAATAAGTTTTAGGAAATTTTATAATTATAGTTAAAAATTTGTTTGTTATCGAAATGAAGAAATGGGGATGGATGACGCGTTTTGATTGGATGAAATTGAAAAAGGTGGGATGATTGGTTTGAGAATGAGACGTTAGTTAGTTTCGGAAGAAAAAAAAGATAGTCAGTTGGTTTCCAAGGGTGCAAGGTGAACGGCCGTTGTTCTCGGGTAGTTTCCCAGAGGTAGGAAGCAGTAGCAGTGAAAGTTTGTGAGTTTTCGTGTAGTTAGTGTATCTGACAGAAGCTGATCCAGTAAAAGATTGTAAGTTATATTTTCTACTTATATTCCAAGAGTCACTGTTCAGGCCAACGAGAGATTCAGTTTATCGTAAAGAAAAGATATTCCAAGAGTCAGTTTTCACTCAGGCCAACGAGAGATTCAGTTTATTGAGAGAAGAAGAAGCTAGCATAATTTGAACGATTCGTGCATTTGAAGGAGATCATTAAGGACGATTAACTTGCAATAATTTGTTGTAAGATTGCTGATTACCTAGGGAGCGGCGACGAATAAATAGTATAGTCTACAAGGAACAAGGATTTGGACCACTCATCATCAGAGGTAGAGATCGTTTGTTTTCTGCAGTTTTTCTTTTATTGATAACACAATTTTTTACACTTAATAAAAAAAGGATATAAATATTTTGATTAGGAGATTTAGAATAATATTTGGATTTTGAGATTTCAACTAATATTGTTTGTACCATTAATTTTGAAGGTTCAAATACGAAGAACAAAATTTTGAGAATCATATGAGATTTTGTTTATTGAAAACATTTGAGTGTGGATTTTATTTCATTATTTTATTTTAATATATAACGTTAGATCCTATATGTTTTTTTTTTATTATTCCGGTATTCTTTGGACCTTACCTTTCACATGTAATAGCATAGATATTGAAGCACGAATTTAACCCTGAGATAAGAGAAATAAAAAGTGTGATAGAGTCATAATCATATCATTTAAATAATTAATTAGCTAATTAATTGCTTGGCGCACCAAGACTTTAAATATTACAATAATATATATATATATATATATATATATATATATATATATATATATATATATATATATATATATATATATATATAATTTCGTTTATGCCGTCGAGGTCCGTCAGAAGTGTTTTCATTTCTGATATTTTAATTATATCGCTGTTTTATTCCTGGAACTATATCATTGCCAAGACGAGCGTTAAAATCACCCATAATCATTATATATTTATCATTTGGGGTCTCGTTTATTATAGTCTAAAGGTGTTCGTAGAAGTTTTCCTTGTGGTGGTATCTCAATTGTTCTCTGGTGCATAAATTGCTATCACATTCAGAGGTTTGACATCCAGTTTAACTTTTACACTTAATCTTCTATTATTGTTTTTACAATGTTTTTGGTGTCTCATATTATAAACAATTTAAAATCCTCAGGTTTCAACATTTGAAATAACAGTTTGAATATGTGACTAACACTGATAAACTGCTACGAAGTTACGAATTACAATATACAATATGTCTAATTTTACTAGACTATATTTTAATAAAGGAAGTCTACAATGAAAAGAAAATCCATTTGTTGCATTTTTTTAACTTCCCGGCAAAACCGTTACGCTTTACACTTGAAACTATGTTATTAAAAATAAAACTTATTGCTGCTAGTTTGTTTATAATTAATTCTGATTATTTTTTAGCATTTTTTCAGAGTATTCTGTCTACAAACGTATTACCCTATACTTAAAAATCCCCTCCTTTGTATTTATCTCTGTGCGCAGCATTTCCTACTTTATTTTTAACATACCGACTATCGCTCTCAACAACTGATGTTGTTTGTGAAACTTCCTTTCCGATCAGTGACCTAGACTCAACTTTTAACCGTGTTATGCGAATTGCTAAATATCATCAAACAATTTTGATTACATATAAGTATACCTAATAATTTTATAAATTTACTTAAAATAGAGGAAAATGGTTCTCTCTATGGACAGATGGGTTGGCAAAGTAGCTGTTGTTACAGGAGCCAGTGCGGGAATTGGAGCAGCTATTGTGAAACAATTAGCAGAAGCAGGTCTTCTGGTAAGTATTACTTATCATTTTTAATTCTAACACTTAATAATTGTTTATTTTTAATCTAGCACTAGTATTTTATTTATGAAAATAAATTAAATATTGTATTTACTTTGGCGGTACTGGCGCACTATTTTTTTTCATATCATCTTGCCGGGTCATATTGACCCGGCGCCAGATGATAATTGATAATATATATTTTACTTATATTATCAGTTATCTCATTAACTTAAAGTAAAATATAATAATTGTGGCGTTATCTTGAACAAGTGAGATGGTTGAATTAAATTTGTTTGTTAGTCAAGTTGAATGGCTAGGTGCAGTATTTGAAAAAGTAAATAGTAACGGAAATAAATATTTTATTTATTTTTTAAAACATAATTAACATGTTTAAAATATTTGTTCATTGCGGCACTAAGAAGGTTCATCTCTCACTCTTCAAACCTGACCCCCCAGGGGGAGTGTAGTGGTCGACGTGATGTCGTGTATTGTCCGTCTCCAGAGATCTCTGTCTCTGGTCATTTCTTTTAATTCATGCATAGGTCTTTGGCATATTCCTGTAATTTGATCTATCCATCTTGTTGGGGATCTTCCTCGTGGTCTTCGGCCTTCTACCTTTCCTTGTATTATGAGTCTTTCCATGTTTTCTGTGTTTGCTCTCATAACATGCCCAAAATATTTTAATTGTTGGAGATGGACTTTACTAGAGAGTCGTTGGCTAACTTTTAGTTCTCTTAAAATTTAATTATTTGTTCTACGATCGGTCCAAGGAATTCGTAACATTCGTCTCCAACAGAACATTTTAGTGGCGTCCATCTTTCTTCTCTCCGATTGTCTCAGAGTCCAATATTCACATCCGTAGGTCAGTATTGGGAATATTAAGCAGTTGATCAACCTCATCTTTATCGCTCTTGATATAGTCCTTCCATATTTTGGTCATTTTTGCTGTGGCAACTTTTGCTAGATCACATCTACGTTTAATCTCTTCTTGTAATGACCCTGTGTTTGTGATTAATGATCCCAGATATAAGTATGAGCTCACAACCTCGAACCGGTCAATTGTGGTTATGTGTGGACGATTGTTGTGTAGTCTATCCACTATCATGATCTTTGTCTTTGATATGTTTAATTGCAGATCAAATATTTGACTTTCATTTTCGATCAGTCGTATAAGTTCCATCAGCTCTACTTGACTATTTGCAAGAAGGGCTGTGTCATCTGCGAAACGTAGGTTGTTTAGTTTATGACCATTTATTGAGATGCCCTTTTCCCATCCTTCAAGTGCTCTTCGCATAATATACTCCCCATATATGTTGAATAATTGTGGAGATAGTATACATCCTTGTCTGACACCCCGTTCTGGATGAAACTCGTTCGAAAGTGTGTCAAATACTTTAACTGAGCCAGTAGTGTGTTCATATAGTTCAGTTATAAGCGTAATTGGATGTTGTGGTACGCCTACTTCTTTTAGTATTCGCCATAAGTGTCTCCACTTGACCCTGTCGAACGCTTTACGGTAATCTATAAAACAGATGTATAGTGGGATGTTAAATTCCCTAGATTTCTCGATTATCTGTTTTATATTCAGCAGGTGTTCTCGAGTGCCTCTACCTTTGGTAAATCTAGTTTGCTCTTGTGTAATTTCTCTTTGAAGGAATGTTTTCAGTCTCTCATTGATTATATGTAGCATTATCTTACTGGCATGGAATATAAGAGAGATAGTTCTATAATTGTCGCATTTATGGGAGCTGCCTTTTTTATGTATGGTCGTTATTGTAGATTTTGTCCAGTCTTCAGGCCATTGTTTGGAATGCCATATTTGGTTACAGAGTAGATGAAGTAACTTTACGCCGGTTTCTTCTGTGGCTTTAAGCATTTCTGCTGTTATCATATCTGAACCTGGTGCTTTGTTATATTTGAGCTTGTTGATAGCCTGTCTTACTTCATTTTCGAATATATCAGGTTCTTCTTCCACCTCGTCAGAGATTTGACTAACAAGCTCTTGGCGTTGATCATCTTTATATAGGTCCCTGCAATACGATCTCCATGTCTCTGCTATGTCTTCTCTGTTTGTTCTCAGGGTTCTAGTGTTATCTTCAATGGCCCAAGTTCTGGCTTTGAAGTGTCTTGTCAGGTAGCGTATTTTTCTAAATAGATCTCTCGGCTGATTATTCTGACCATGTCTCTCAATTTCTTTGCATATATTTTGATAGTACTGTTTTTTGTCGGCCTTACATCTTCGTTTTATTTCTTTATTGAGGTTTCTTAAACTAGCTTTTTCCCTTTCACTATATACACCACTTTTACAAAGATTTCTTCTATTCTCACTTATTTTAAGAGTTTCATCTGTTATCCAGTGTTTCCGTTTCACCGGATTATTTTTCTTTGAGCGATCCACTGGTGTTGTTACGCAATGTTTAACAGTCTCCCATATTTCTTGTGATAATCCGTTACGAATAGAGGGCATACTTTTCTGTACTTCCTGTAGAAGGTCGTCTTTCTTTCTTAGTTCTATCCTCTTTATCTTTGTTTGTTTGTTGGGTGCTTTAAGTTTAAGCATTACTTTAGCTACGAGGAGAGTATGATCGGATCCGCATATCGCCCCTGGATATGATCTGACTGTTTGAATGGACGATCTCCAGCGAATATTGGTGAGAACGTAATCTATTTGTTATCAAGAAGGTTCATAACGGTTGTACAAATCATCCAACATATTTATGAAGAGAGGTTGCTGCAGTTGTTAAAAACAGGTTTTGTCGTAAGTCTTTAATATCTGCTGGTAGGACTTCTGACTTAAGTCTAACTTTTTTTAGCATGTACCAAATGTATGCATCAGAAGTTGACAGATTAGTTGAGTGAGCTGGGTACTCAAAGTCTGTCTTACTCTGTGGAGAATTATCAGAGGCCAAAGAAAAGAGAAGAACAAATTAACAAAAACGAAACACAAAGAGTTCAGTAAAATTCTTTGACACAGAAAAAACAGATAAATTAATCACGCGGACAGTTTCTTAGGGTTTTTTGCTGAATACACACCTCACAGGAGTATTATTTGCAAAATGTGCCAAAATATCGGGTTTTCCTTTTCTTGCAGTATTTGCAATGCTTTTTTTTACCTGATGGTGGATTAGATCGGTTTTTTGTCGGCATTCCAGAGTATCTCATAACAGCTTGTCAAATGTTACAATGTAATCCTGACGTTCGTTGTAGCCTTGATTCCAAATAACTTTTTACTAGGTCTCCTCCTATTTTTTAAATAAATTGTGTTCGTTATTTAGCATATTCTGTACTGGGATTATTATGTTTGGTAATTAAAAAAGCGTTTGTACCGGCGATATTTAGGACCGCATAAAAAATTACAAGTGGCCATCGCATCGTTTAGCATTTAAAGATACATCGTATGATGATTCCATTTTATCTACAATATCTGCTCCACATTTGGTATCTCTAGTTTCTTGATAGTTTCGTCTACTATATCATTGTGATGAAAGGATGAAACTAGTGGCACATTTTTATTCCTTTTGGGGATGATGGTGACATGCAATGTGCTCCAAAACCAAAAACAGAGGAACCTACAAGGCGGTCTTTCATATTGGTCATAATTGTTGGCAATCCTTTTCTTTGGGACTGAATCGTACTCACAGCAGTTAGCTTGTGTTCTCATTTCAGTTGGATAACAAGGTTGCAAGTAACAAATCAGCGATCCATCGTAATATTTCTTCCTGTTCCATAGACAGGTGTGCACATCCTTGTAGTAACTGCTGCATATGAATTATCAACTTTATTATATAGTCCAGAAGATTGTTGACCAGCATATATTTCCATATTATTAGTGTAAAATGTTTTTGCGTCGACAGTGACAAATACTTTGATACCATATTTTTTAAGTTTGTTTGAATTGTACATGCGGAAGCTACACCTTGCACGCAAAGCAAAAATCATCTCATCGAGGGTTATATAGTCAGCAATGGTATAACAAGATTGACTGTTTTATTACAATATATATATATATATATATATATATATATATATATATATATATATATTACAGGATCCAATTTGTAAATAGAATACATCTTGGAGACGGCTATCGCCGTATTTCCGTCTTCCTCCGCCAATCCTCTCGGTCCAAGGCATGCTCCTCCTCTAAACCTCTCGATTCCATTGTTCTTCTAATACCTTCATTCCATGAGCGTCAAGGTATACCTCTTTTTCTTCTACCAGGGGGCTTCCATCTGTGAAGTTTTTGGGGCCAACGTTCGTCAGGCATTCTTAACAGGTGTCCAAACCATTTTAAACCTCTTCTTTCTATTCTGTCTATGACCGTATCTGTAGCATTCATCTGATTTCTTATAGATTCGTTGGTTTTCCTTTCCAGCCTGTTTTATTACAAATGTTTCAAAAATCTCTCTTATCGGAGCTAGTTTATCGATTTTGAGTCTTTCGTCTGTGGTTTGTTTATTACTAAAACGTATTACTTTTAACAAAAATCTAAATCGCCTTTATGCCATAGTCGCTACAAATATTTCTTATCCCATGTCATCGTCTGCCCATAATTCTTCTAAATTTTTTCCAGAGACCTTATCCAAACTCGCTAAATCCAACAAACCAATAAAAACTCTCATTTCTGGAAAAGATGTAAGTTTGACTTTGTTTTGATTTTTGTATCTTCCAGATATGATTATCAGCAAGGAGAATATAAAGGGGGCCAATCTATACATTAATTATCTGCTAATCTACGCAGATAGAGCGAGTAAAACAGTATTGTTACCTGGGAACTATTATTAACGAACAGTGGAGCAATTTACAGGAAATAAAGTGCCGCATAGGAAAGGCAAGAACGGTCTTTAACAAAATGAGCGCCATCTTCAAAAATCACAACATATCCGTTGATACAAAAATGAGACATTTGAGATACTATGTTTTCTCTGTGTTGTTGTACGGGGCGGAGGCATGGACGCTTACAGACACCACTATTCAAAAACTTGAAGCATTTGAGATGTGGCTTTATAGAAGAATGCTGAGAATATCATGGACAGCAAGTATCACGAACAAGGAAGTTCTGGGAAAAATGAATAAGGAACCAGAGATTGTGTTTACGATCAAACGCATAAAATTGCAATATCTGGGACACGTTATGAGAAATCAGCACCGTTACTCCCTGCTACAGTCTATATTGCAAGCTAAAGTCAAAGGTAAGCGAGGACCCGGTAGAAGGAGAATATCATTGCAGCGAGCAAGGTTATGATTGCCAATATGATTTCCAACATCCGAAACGGATAGGAACCAGAAGAAGAAGATCTTCCAGATATCTCTCTAATATAAATATTGGTGTATTCTACTACAAGTTTAATAACATTTTGCACTAGAAGATCCCACAATTCAATGGGACTCATTGCGTTTTTTACTTCTCGGATAGTTCCTGGTAAGTGAGAAACTATATTCTCCCGTCGTCGTGTGCAAATATTTGTAGGTAGTACAAATTTCTTCCATTTAGTTCCATCCTTTTAGGTCTCAGATTGTTCTTCATTAATTGCTTGATCTTATATTATATTTATAAGGGATTAAGCCACCATTGATTGTAATGAAAATTAAATTTTATAATTGTTATTTGATGTATCCATTTCCACTCCGGAACTCAAAACGTCAAATAGCAATTATTATAAATCGTTTTTTTTTTCATTAAAATGAAGTGTGGCTCAATACCATACACATATAATATTTAATCTATAAACTTTTAATCGGTAGTTTTTTTTAACTTAATATCTTTCCTTTGCAGGTTGTGGGAGTGGCAAGACGAAAGGAAAAAGTAGAAGAGATAGCAAAATCGCTCGGTGAAGTAAAAGGTAAAATTTACGCATACAAATGCGACATTACGAACCAAACGGAACTACAAGATGTTTTCAAATGGACAACTAAAAATGTTGGACCTGTTGCTGTGCTAGTCAATAATGCAGGAGTTCACATAAGAACAAGTTTGGTCGATGGGGATATAGATGCATGGAGAAAAACGGTTGATACTAATGTTCTAGGTGAGTGTGTTCTTTCTCTTCTTCTTAATTCAAAAGATTAAAGTTTTGTTGTGCTGGCATCATCGTTTCATCTTTTCGAGGGGCAAGCTTAACTACTTCCTTAAGTTTGTAATATAATACTACTCAGTTTTAAAATGATTCATAGCATAGTTTTTATGACACAGATGACAATTCTATGATGATGATAATTCCCTACGTAATATCATAAACCAGTGACGAAGAATTTTAAAACTATGTTTTTTACTGCTTGCTGACTCTGTAACTTCATTAAATAAACTTTTCTCTTCAGAAATTAAGTCTCTCCCATTTAGCCACAACTCTCCCTTGTCTACCATCATAAAACAATCCACCTCTTCCCCAACTAAGTTATATAATTGTATAATGCTCTATTTTATTCTGCAATCGTTCAAATTTTTATTTCTCCTTAGCTTTTTTGTTTCAGTTATGAGGTCTATACTTATTTTACCATTTATTGGTTTATCGTTTATTTTTTGGTCTTTTGATCCCAATGATTTATAATTAAAAGCAGTTAGTTTATTTTAAGGTGAGCTAATCTGGTGTTTCAGCTAGTTTATGCTTTCTAACTTAAACTGATCTAATAATTTCAGGCTCCGTAGCGTACTACATTTTGAGTAGTTTGAATGCCTTAAATAATTGTTTGTAATTTTTAATTATCCAAAAATATGGTCTTCTGACTTCTTGTAGCTTCGTATAGATGTCGCTGCTAGGCTACTCAGACAGTTATTAGTACTATAACTGCCAAATAATAGACTGCATTTCAATTCAGTTTGAACTCTATCATGAACAGTGTTCATGATAAGAGTTGAATAACTCGAAACACGCGTAGAACAAGGGTGGAATTCGAATTACAATGAAATGCAATATTTTACTTTCATTTTAAAGTCTTTTTTCTACGTAAAGAGTGAAAAAATAGTATTTTCAAGGGTGTATTGTAGATGCATATTGGAGTAAAAGGTTTTTCCCAATTCGCTATCGAAGATAGGTCTCCCAACTTTTTGTTGTTAATGTTATAATCTAAAATACAGTGTAGTACCTACGTTTAGTAGTACTAACTCGTATTGATTTTAGCTTTGTGTATCGCAACGAGAGAGGCCATCAACATTATGAAAGAGAATAACATTGATGGACATATTATTAATATCAATAGCGTTCTGGGACACAGTATTTTTCCATTTCCTAAACTAGATGTATATCCAGCTACAAAATACGGAGTAACTGCCATAACAGAAACGCTAAGGAGAGAACTAATGGAACTTAAATCGAAAATCAGAGTGACGGTAACTATAAATTCTAATAATTTAAAGCAAACTCAATAATCATATATAATTTCTAAATAATTAACCAAAAGAGCTGTTTCGTAAAATAAAGCTCTTTCAGATAAAGTATGGAACATCCTTAAAATAAAAAAGTCGCAGTTACATACATAAATACGTACATACATATGTTATACATAAATATAAATAGTTATAAATACATAAATATACATAAGTTTGGTAGAAAAAATATGTTATAATGAGGAATCCATCATTTTACATTTAAAGAATATGTAAATTTATTTGTTAATACCAATTAGAATAATAATTAAAAAAGTGACTTTAAATGTTCAAATTGCTCTCACAGTGAAGGTTTTTTCAGTGGCGGCCGGTCAGGGTCGGCAGGGTCGGCAGTGCCGACCCACATCTTTGTAGATATTATAGATTATTTTAATATTTAATTTAATCAGTATTTCAATAAATAATTGTAGCAGGTAATCAGTTGATGTCATTTGTTTTTGTGAACTAAAAAGAAATATCTTTCAAACAAATGTTCCGATATTGGAGACATCCATCCGCCTATGAATTCTTAAAAAGGCACGTTTTGTTTTTTCGGCTAGCCGATCCCAACCTTGACTTTACTTGTAAAAATCAACGGAATATTGGTTGATTAGCAACCAAATATACATTTCTTTCCATATGAACTTAATTACTAAGTCCGGCAAATTTAAATTTGCCGATGTTTCATTTGGATTGGTGATTGGTCGCGATCTGTACATTGCGAGCGTGGGACGAAATGTTATTTCATTTTCATATATGTAGTAAACTGAAGTGATATTCAGTGCACGAACTAGCCTATCTTTTTGTGATTTATTTTTATTTTCTACTAAAGTAATACTGTGATACGTTACGTCTGCCGTAAATAGTTAACGGTTAAAGGGTTTTTTGACATATTAAAAGTTTTTTTTTTAAATTAAAGTGTAAACAAATTCAGTAAACACTTAAAAAATGCAAGCCATGGGAGAAACTGTAAGTATTGATAAGTCTGATATTGTAAATTATATTTTGCATAATGGTTTTTCATCAATTCCATACGAAGAACAAATTGTTATTAAAAATAAGGGGCGTCCTTTGCCTAAAATGTCCCGACTTATAAATATTAGTGCGGGTAAGGGAAGTAATAGATCATTTTCAGATAATTGGTACAGCAAGTATTCAAGGCTTACTGGGAGTGAAATAAAAAACAAACTTTTTTGTTGGCCTTGCATTTTAGTTTCGACAAATAGGGGCAAACATCAAAATCCGTGGTGTGAATTTGGTTACGATAATTTAAAGGAATTATTTAGGGCTTTACATAAACATCTTATTTCGAAAGATCATACTTACACCCAGATTAAATTAGATTTAATTGGAAAACAAAATATCCATGTTACATTAGATAATGCCCAACGTGAAAATGCTATTAAACATAACGAAATTATAAAAAATAATCACGCAGTTTTACGTCGTTTAATTGATATTGTAATTTTTTTAAGTTGTCAGGAATTTTTTTTAGGGGACACGATGAATCGGAGCATTCGTTAAATCAAGGTAATTATAGAGAACTAATAAAAATGTTTAAGAAATACGATTTGGAATTTTCTAATTTACTTTCTGATTCGAAGACATTTAGCGGTGTATCTAAAACAATCCAGAATGAATTAAAAGAATCAATTTGTTACATTTTGAGTAACATTATTGAATCTGAGATTCAGGAAACCATTTGCTTTTCACTAGAAGTAGATGAAACTACCAACATATCATGTCATTCACAATTATCAATTGTTGTTCGATACGCGTTACGTGGTAATATCTATGAGAGGTTTTTAGGTTTTACAGACGTGAGTAAAAGCCATAAGGCAGAACATATTTTTGGTGTTTTAAAGGACAAATTAAAATTTTTTGATATCAAAAATAAATTGGTAGGGCAAACTTATGACGGCGCTGCCGTGATGTCTGGTGAATTAAATGGTCTCCAGGCAAAAGTTAAAACTGTTGCACCGCAAGCTTTATTTACTCATTGTCATGCGCATAGAATAAATTTAGTTTTGCAAGATACATGTAAAAAAATTAAAGAATGTCGTCTTTTTTTTGCCAGTTTAAGCGGATTTGCTTCATTTTTCTCAAGCTTGCCTAAACGGACTAATGTTTTAGAACGGTTTGTTTCGAAAAAAATGCCAACAGTTTGTCAGACGAGATGGAATTTAAAATCTCGGTTAGTTTTCACTGTAGCAGATTTTCGTGAACAGCTTTTGAAAGTTTTTGATTTTATTATTGAATGTGACGATTTTGAAAGTGATGATATCTCGATCCATAAAGCAATCGGTTTGAAAACTTTATTAAATGATTACTCTTTTAACATACTTTTAAATATTTTTAAGAAAGTGTTTACCCAAACCAATTTGATATTCAATGTTGTTCAAAATCAGTTAACTGACATTATTCATTCCAAAAATAGAATAACAAGACTGGTGCAAAATCTCAGTCAGATTTTCGTAATGATAGTAATTTCCAGTATATACGCAGTGACGTTTTGGACTCGCTTGATATTTCCGAACCCCCCAAAAAAAGATAAAGCATGACAAAGAAACAGATCTCGAAAAACGAGTATATTTTGAAATTTTGGATACTATTATTATGCAAATATATACTCGTTTTTCGAATAATGAAGATTTGCAAATTTTTGAGCTCTTTGACGATTCAAAATTTAAAAGTTACGCCAAAGAATTTCCAAGATATTTATTAGACAGGTTGATTAAAAATTATCCATCATTCTTTAATAAAATAAAATTAGAAAATGAATTAAAAGTTTTATATGCTGATCCAAATATTTTCGGAAGATGGGATAAGTTACAAGATATGTATAATTTTATATATTGCAATTCATTACAACAAACTGTTACCGAAATTAATAAATTATTTATTGAGAAATTAAAAAGTTCTGAAACAAAAATGGAGATTTGATGAACAAAATGAAATACGTGTTTACTCTATGACTGTAATTTTGCTACTACCCTAAAAAAGGAAAGTGATACATTATTCAACTAGTAAAGTAGCCAATAGATGACACTGCTAGAAAATATTCAAATTTATTTATCTATATCCAACATTATTGTCATTAATTCTCTCATTACCACCAACGTCTGCCTCAAATGAACGAGATTTCTCTTGCCTCAAAAGAATCAAAAATTATTGTCGAAATACCATGAAACAAGAGAGAATGTCAAGCTTGTCTCAAATATCAATAGAAAAAAAAACTTTTAAAACCTCTCCAAAACTCTAATAAATTTTACGATGACGTTATTACCCATTTTGCTACTTCCAAACAACGTAGACTAGAGTTAATTTATAAACATGTTTAGGTTCTAAATTTAAAGGAAAAACAAAAAAAAAAAACAAAAAAAAACAAGAAAACAAAAAATCTCCTATGATGATTGAAGTCTTTATTGGACGGTATACCTATCTGTGGAGACAAAAAATACCTTGCCCACCTCGTCTCTCAAGCCACGAGCCGCCACTGGGTTTTTTCACATCCTCACAAGGTTAAATCCTGTTAATTTATAGTCTAATACGAGTAAAAACGTAAACTCGTTTCTCGTGTTTTTTTTTATATTAAAACAATATAGGAAGAAATAAATGACAGTGTCTAATATGTAACTGTTGACAAACCAGTTTACAGTAATAAGTTGTAGAATAAAAATGGTCAAATCAAGTGAAATAGATGGTATCGAAATGTTAATAATGATCGGTTACGGTGATCGTTTTAGGACATAATCCAAAAACATTTTTCATAGATGGAAACTTGACTGGTGACAAATATTTAAATAAGTAACCAAATTATTCCTGTATTTCAACAATATGGTCAGTTACAACATTTTTGGTTTCAACAAAATGGACAGCTTCCAAACTTTTATCGACGGATTCGAAATTTTTTAAATGCGCATTTTCCAAATCGATGGATTGGACGTAGAGAATTCATAGAGTGGTCTGCCCATTTTTCGGACCTTAATCCGATAATCCCAAAGATTTTTTCTTTGGGATTATCGAAAATCACATATTTACATTAGGCTATCAATATGTTTGAAGAATTTGAAACAACTAATTATTGATGAATGTGAATTTGGAAGAAGTGGAGAAGATTTGGAAAGAGTGACTTATGGATTGAATATTATTAGGCTTGAACTAGTCAGGAGGTAAACAGAGACCATTTTTAACATTTGAAATGATTTTTTTAATTAATATTCTCATTGGTATTAGTAAATGAAAGTTTTTCTTTATCTGTAAAGTAATTCATTTCTTATTTTAACAACAAATGTTTTCTACCAAACTTAGTGTGTGAATCAGGAATAACAAAATCTTTAAAACTTGCAAAAATATACAAGGTGTTATTTCGTTTCATAGCTAGTTATTTCGGTGAAGCCAGAAGTATAATAGTAACAAAAAATATAGCGCCAGATGCGTTATGTGTTATTGTAGCTTCATGCAAAGTTTCATGAATGGTGTCTTTTGTGTTTCAAAGATACTAGGTTGATTCCATACTTTATACCAACCGTGTATGTATTCATTCTATGACCCTACAGCACAATTCGAGCCCTGAGATTCCTCGTTCTTGCTTGAAAAATAAATGTGTAGTGACTTCATTTCGTTTAATTTAATTCGCCAGCATTTGGTACTTTTTACTAGACAACACTTAGTGGAAGATCAAGTGAATAAAGCAAACAGAGCCGCATGTTCCCTGAGTGAAACAATATGGAGAAAAAAAAATATCGGGAAAGAAATGAAAGGCAGAATTTAAAAAAAACAGTCATCAGACCAATAATGGCATACGTGGCAGAAAGACGATTTGACACAGAGAGGACAAAAAGGATGTAAGAAACAGCAGAGATGAAAGCACTCAGAAAAAGGTGTGGTAAGACACTATGGTAAAATAATCATATAAGCCGAATGACAACAAGTAGAACAATAAAGACGGCAAGAGACGGTTCTCCAATAAGAAGACGGTCAGTAGGAAGACCACGAATAGGAAAACCATGAACACGATGGAATGACAACTTACTGAAGGCGCACTGAAAACAGATATAGTTATGTCTACATAAAAAGAAGCAGAAGAAGCATTTAGTACAGTTGTTTAATCTTTTAATAGAGGTTTGTATCTTTCTTGTTGCTTCTTCACCTATGGCTAACACGACGGTAGCATCAGCAAAAGTAACTATTGTGTTATATTCAATCAATCTAATTCAGCGATATTACTAGTGTATAATAAATACAGGAGTGGTTCTGCCACACCACCTTGTGGTACACCTGCATTGGTTTCCATAATTCCCAGTAGACTTCTTTTTGCTTAACCCTAAAACTCTATCTGACATGTATGATTCCAACAATTATGTATATTTACTTGGAAAAATCCTGCTTAATTTATATTTAATTCCTTTGTGCTATACTTTATCAAAAGCTTGTTTTACGTCAAGGAAGACAGCGGAACAAAGTTTCTTATCTTCTAGTGGCCTTTCTATTATATCGGTTATTCTACGGACTTGGTCGACAGTTAAATGACTTTTTCGAAATACAGATTCGTGTGATGGAATTATAGCCTTAGCATGAGACGACCTAACACAAAGAGGACAAACAGGATGTTAGAAACAGCAGAGATGGAAATACTTAGAAAAATTGATGGCAAGACACTATGGGACAGAGCTAGAAATACAGATATACGACGTAGATGCAAGGTGGAAAACAATAAGAACTCGGTAAGAAATAGAAGAGTAGAATGGAACGATCATAAAGGCCGAATGACAACAAATAGAGTAGTAAAAGCGGCAAGAGACAGTTCCCCAATAAGAAGACGATCAGTAGGAAGACCATGAAAACGATAGAACAACAACTTACTGGAAGCACATTAAAAAACAGATAGAATCATGTCCACATAAAAAGAAAAAGAAGAAGAAGTATTTATGAGAGATTTCAGCCTTTTCAGCAATAGCTTTTCGTATAGCTTCGAAATTACAGGTAGTAAGTAAATATAAGGCAATAATAAGGCACAAATAATAAAAAAAAGATCAGCTAAGAATCTAGAAACTCATATTACTTTTGTAGACCTGCAAAAAGCATATGACAACATCCCCTTAACAAAATTGTGGACAACGTTGCAAAGATCTAACATCAACCACACATTGATAAATGCTGTACAAGAACTATATAGAGACTCGAAGGCACAGATAAAAACAGGAAAATATCTAACGGAAGAATTCCTAGTTACAAAAGTCTTGCGACAGGGATGCTGTATCTCACCAACCTTATTCAAGATATATGTTGCAGCAGCATTGGAAAGATGGAAAAGAAAGGTGCATAGAATGGGTATAGAATTTAGCAATGAATGTATATATACACTCCAGTTTGCTGATGACCAGGTAGTACTAGCGACCAATAGGGAAGACATGCAGTACATGCTTAGAAAACTGATAGAAGAAAATAACGACTGGGGAATGAATGTCAATACAACAAAAACCAAATATCTTTGTATTGGAAACAAGTCAGATAACATAGACCTCGAAAACGGACAACATATTTCCTGCTGTCAGAGCTATGACTACTTGGGTGTTGCCTTTGACAATACAAGAACTGATACACGGGCAATAGAAAAACGAATCACTCAAGCAAATAAAGTCTTAGGATGTCTCAATGGTATACTGTGGAATAAAGAGATAACGAAAGGAAGAAAATTTGATATATATGAGACCATGATTAAAATCACTCTTCTTTATGGCGCTGAAACATGGAGAATTAGTGAAAAGAACAAAAAGCGAATAGAAGCAGTAGAGATGGATGCAATGAGAAGATCTTTAGGTATTTCCAGACAAGACCGAATCAGAAATGATGTAGTAAAACAACGTATGGGAATAGAAGGAAATATAACTTAAGATATAGAGAAGAAACAATTAAGGTGGTATGGGCATGTTTAACGGATGCCAGCAACAAGACTCCCAAAAAAAAGCAGTAGAATGGCAACCGATAGGTCGACGGAAAAGAGGAAGACCCAGATTAAAATGGCAACACGGCGTAAACAAGTCCATGAGCGAAAGAAATTTAACAACAAACGACTGCGAAGATAAGAAGAGATGGTGTTTAGGTATCGGACAACGTCGAAAGACGATCTAACCCGATGTATCGAAGTAACTCGGCCTGTAGGATAATACTGTATTTGATTGCTTTTCAGGTTTAAAGACCATTATGACTTCTGCAACTTTGCATGTCTTGATAGTATATCTTAATATGACCGAGAAATTTATAAGATATGTCAGGTTTACGTGGCTGTTCTAGGTAGTTGTGTTAAGATTTCCACAGTAATTTAATTAAACCCAGGTGCTTTTCTGGGATTGATAATTGCTTTAGTTTCATTGGGCACTTCTTTTGAGGTGACTAGTTTAATATCAACTTCTTCCTATGTTACGCTTTTCCATTCAACTGTGTTATCACCTTCATTTAGCTGAAATGTCTCCTGGAGATATTAAAAAAATCTATTAGCCTTCTATAAATTAATTTTTGTCCAGCTTCCATTTGTATTTCTCAAGGAAGGATTTTAAGTTGTTGTTGTTGTTTGTTTGTGTTTAAATGACTGCGGACACTAAATCCATTCGCCAATCTTACAATTTGTACTCATTTTTTCATTAGTCATTGTTTCCTATACAATGTTATACTAAATTCCTACTAATACTAATCCTACTATTACTAGTATTGATCCCTAATATATAGTCATTAGGGATCAATACTAGTAATAGTAGGATTAGTATTAGTAGGAATTTAGTAAGGATTTTAAGTTGCAGTTTAAAGCTATTCTTTAGAAAAACAAATGTACATAAAAACCCAAATGATATTTATACGTCAACAGTTTTGCCTTTAAGTGATTGATGATTTGATGATAAGGCGTTAAAACTTTTATTAGAGTTGCCATAATCTTTTTATACTTATTGACTATAAATTTTTATATGTATATTGAACATTATTGTTATTTTTAGAGTGTGAGCCCGGGTGCTGTTAATACTGAAATCTTTGATAACGTAAGAGATACTCAGTTTTTCAAGGAAATGTTGTCGAAAACTATGTTAAACGCTGAAGATATAGCAGATGGAGTATTATATGCACTATCTACACCTCCTCATGTACAGGTAAAGTATATTTTAACAATTTGCGACGGTTTTGGAATATCCCTACACACTCCATAGCTACTGGTACACTCTACTGTATCACATCAAGTATCACATAAGAAGTGCGAAGGAAAATTCCTCTAGTAATGCAAATAACACATAAGTAATTTCTAAATTGAATTAAAAAAAATCCTTTTATATATTTTTTACAGTAATAATAAGTCTCAATATTAAAGACAGTTTTATAGTAACAAGGTTATGAAAAGATTTAGAATTTTGAAACATATTTTTCTTGTTTGACCAACAAACAGTTTCCGAAAACGGTTTGACATATATTCTAGAAGTATATACAAGTTATACAGTATTATTTCAAAAATATAAATAACTAGGTATAAACCATCATTGATGAACATAATGAGTATGGAAAAAAATTAGAGTAGAAAGTAAAAGCAAGACATGCATTAAACAAACTGAAAAAAGTAATCTAAAGGAAGGCCATTGCAATCGATTGAAATATCAGATTGCTGATTTGGTACATGTTCTTCGTATTATTTTGCAGAATGAAAGTTTAATACTAAACATTAACTAGGTAAATGGAGTCACTGTCATATCAGTAGGTTATGATTACGGTCACGGGGCTCTAGGCACAATGTAGGCAGACTCGTTGTCAGTTGTCACGACTTGTCAACACGATTGTTAGATATAGGTTTTTGGACATTGTTGATTCCTAGAGACTTTGTTAATAAGTATGTTTAAATAAATGTATTAAACACAATGAAATATTATTACTTGGCGCAGTCTAGTGGAAATTAATCGAAAATCATGGAAGCAAGGTTACCAAATCCATTATCATTTGAAGGCAATGTGGCCGAAAATTTTAAAAGATTTAAGCAAAGTTTTGAAATATATCTGATGGCATCAGGAAAAAGTGGTAAAAGTGATGAAGTTAAAGTAGCACCTTTACTCAATTTAATTGGAGAAGGCATTGAGATTTATAACAGTTTGGAATTAACAGAGGTCCAACAAGGAAAGCTAGCAGATGTATTGGAAGCATTTGAGTCTTATGTTACTCCTAGAAAAAACGTGGTTTATGAAAGATATCTGTTTTATAAGCGCAGTCAAGAAGAAGGAGAGCCTTTTGACCACTTTTTAACAGATTTAAAAAATAAAGTAAGAAATTGTGAGTTTGGTGTTGAAGCATTTTCAATGGTAAGAGATAGAATAGTATTAGGCACCAATAGTAAGGATGCACAACAAAGCATGTTAAAAACAATTAATTTAGATCTGACTAAAGCTATTGAAATATGTAAAATGCATGAAGTATCCCAAGCTCAAATAAAAGAAGTTCAGAACAGCTTAGAGAAGGTGAAAATTGAATCAATTGGAAGTAAAGTCAAGCAGTGGCATAATTCAGTCCAAACAGTCAGGGGTGCAAGTTCTTCTAGAGATGAATTTAACTGCAGAAACTGTGGGAATGTCCATGGACCAAGGAGGTGCCCAGCATATGGAAAAAAGTGTAGAAAGTGTGGTAAATATGGGCATTTTGATAAAGTGTGTTATCATGGTAGGTTAGTAAGAGAGGTACAAGTGGAAGAAAGTGAAAATAATGAAGTAGACAATTTCATGATTTCATCAATCACTGTTAATGAAATTAAGAATAAAAATAATAAAGACATAAATCTAAAGGATGAGTGGGAGAAACTAAAGGCGAAAAGAAACGAATATAAAAATTATTATGATAGAAACACCAAAGTAAGAAGAGAAATAGTGCCAGGAGAGAATGTAGGTGTCAGAGAGGGTAGAGAATGGAGACCAGGAAAAGTTCTGGAAAAAGTGGATGAGGCACCCAGATCTTATTTAGTGCAGAAAGAAAATGGGGAAGTCATCAGGCGAAACAGTTATCACTTAAGGCCTTCCCTAGTTAAAGCGGAAATTAAGAAGAATACTGATTTTGCACATAATGATAGATCATTAAACTCCTCATCTGGGAATCAAAGTTGTGGAGTAGAGGAACCTTCAACCTCCCAAATGAATGCTGAAAATAGAACTAGCGCTAGACTCAAAAGGGCTCCAGTGCGTTTTAAGGATTATCAAATGTAAGGGGAAAGATGTCATATCAGTAGGTTATGATTACGGTCACGGGGCTCTAGGCACAATGTAGGTAGACTCGTTGTCAGTTGTCACGACTTGTCAACACGATTGTTAGATATAGGTTTTTGGACATTGTTGATTCCTAGAGACTTTGTTAATAAGTATGTTTAAATAAATGTATTAAACACAATGAAATATTATTACTGTCACAAATTTCGAAGTATCAAGAAGAATGGGAGAAAAGGAAACTTTTAAATTTTGAAGATTAAAATACTTGCTTGAATGAGTAGTGCAGGAGGAGATGTAAAAAAGAACAATTTAAGAACCATGTTTAAGTTCCATTGCTATTAAGACATACTTAAACATAGTTTAATTTGTTTTCAAATAAATACTCTGTTCATGTTAAATTTTTTCTTTAAAATTTTCTAAAGATTTATTTATGCTTTTAGGTTCACGAGTTAATGATCAAACCTGTGGGGGAACAGTTTTAAATTGAACATTCTTTAAATATTTAAGTTCATTTGCATTCTTTTCACCAATAGATTAATACTACTTATTCCATAAATGTATTGCTTAACGAGTTCCAAATGTTAACTTAATGTTAAATTAATTGTTAAATATATAATTGTTAATTATATGTATATCGTTGAATAAATAAACAAATTGATAATATTCGTCCAATTATTTATCTCAATTAGGCCATTATACAACAGCATCAAGAGGTAGAATAGAGGTAAACATATAATTTTTTAATGTTCTATATTTAAAGTACTTTTTATGTCATAGAAAGACAGAAAACTTTTCACCTTTATTAGTTTTTCTTAATATATTTCCAATTATTTAATTAATACAATATACTATCTAATTTTTAGACTTTTTGAAAATTTTGCAAAAAATAAACTTGTAAAGGCAAAAAAATTGATTGCTATTTTCCTGGATGTTGCAAAGGGCTTCTTAAAGTATCTTACAGACAGCTCATTATTATTCTTGTGCACTATGATATTACATATATAGTTTTGGAAGTTTTTGATAAATATTTAAAGCATAGAATCAGAAAGGTTTGTAGTGAGCCTTTAAATATAAAAACTTAAATACATTAGGGGACCTTGATCCATTATTTTTGATTGCGTATATAATTCTTTATTGAACATGCCATTACATTAATGTTTTTGTTTACACAAATAAAGACGTATGTGTGACCATTAAGCGTAAACTCCGATGCTTAAAATGCATCCGCAGGACACAGGTGCACCTGACCTTTCGGCATAAGACACCATGTGAGAGTTGCTTTAATGCAGTTCCTGCATTATCCCTTTTGGTGACAAATTTGGGCAGATGCGTTGTAGTTTGTTGTCGTCAAGTTTGTTCCATCTTTCGAGCTATATTCTTATTGAAATTCTTTGATGGTGTTTTAAATGTCGGAGTGAGGAATTTCTAGGAGCTTTTTATCTGGTATATTCATATAGCAGGCTTCTTTAGCTTCCCGATCAGCTTTTTAATTACATATTATGCCTACATGAGATGGAGTCCAAACAAATTCTACCCTTTTATTTTTATTGTTCTGAAGCTATTAAAACTTTAAAAAATAAGAATATAAGAACTTTAAAAAATGACGACTCCATAATCATCCTACCAGCAGACAAGGGGAATGCAACTGTGATAATGGATAAAATTCAATACGAAAATAAAATTAAAGATCTTTTAATAGCAAAACTGATCGCATTCACAAGGTATTTTATAAATGCAATTCTTTGTCCTTTCTTGTTCATTGTTAGGTTTGGTTTTGGACAAAATAGATCTCAACGTGTTTGTTGTTTTGAATGTTGTTGAAATGTTGAATTTATTTCCTATCCTTTTAAGTTTTTCTGATAGTCCTTTTATGTACGGTATTGTTATTTTCCTCATATTATTCCTTGTGTATGCTGTAGGATCTCGTTCTAAGTTGTTCTGTTTTATTCGATCGATTGTTGAAAATTCCTTATTTATAAACGATAAAGGATAATCATTTTTTAATAAAACAGATGTTAACAAATGTTTCTCCTCCAAGAACGAATTTTCATTAGAACAAGTAATTTTGGCTCTATCGTATAAGGATTTAATTATTCCCTTTTTTACATTAATATTGTGAATTGATTTGAAATTTAAATATCTATTGGTGTGTGTTGGTTTTCTGTACACCTGAGTCTCATATCCAGTATCGTTCTTAGAGATTAAAACATCCAGGAAAGGTAGCGTGTTATTATATTCCTTTTCCATGGTAAATGTTATTGTCTCTTCTTTATCGTTTATATCATTTAGGAATGTGTCCAACAACTCTGATCCATGAGGCCATATTGAGAATACATCATCTACAAACCTCCATAATACTGTGAGTTTGAAATATTGTTTAGAAATAATATTTGTTTCAAAATCTTCCATGAATATATCGGCTATGAATGGAGATAAACTAGAGCCCATTGCTAGACCAAAATTTTGTTTATAGAATTCATTATTTAGTTGAAAATATGTAGTACAAAATAATATTAGTACATAATGTTAATAACTCCATTATAGCCGATATGGTTAGTCTTGTTCTAGTTGCCAATGACTCATCACCCTCTAATTTTCTCTTGACTATACTTACAGTATTATTTAATGGCACATTCGTAAATAAACTATTTATGTCTCAAGTTAAAGTTGATTTCATGTAATCGAATGAACTATCTTATAAGTAAAGTCGTCCCAGGAGCGCAACTCAACAATATTGGAAATATCATTTTAAAGTTGTCTACTTTAAAATGCATAATGTATGTCTGAATTGTCAATATAAATGAGTCAGATAAAATTAAATTATTAGAAGAATTTTTCACTATGTAACAAAAAAACAAAATTTGTTTAATTTACTGTTTGTATTATGAGAACGATTTCCGAAGTGGAAATTGAAACGTCAATAAACGTATTTTTATCTTTAGTTGTGGCTTATTCCCAGTTAAATAGTAATTCCTTTTATTTTTATTGTAAAGTTCTTCTAGATCAATTTTAATTTGGCATAGTATTGGATGGTTTGGGTAAACACTCAATATTCCTTGTACTGCGCTTAAAGAATCTGTGAAAATGACAGCTTCCAATTTGGGCTGGTTTGATGATATGTTGTAAGGCTTTAGATATGGCATACAATTCGGCGGAATATATGAAGTACTCCTTGGGTAGCTGAAACTGATGTTTATTTGTTTCGTCAACGAAAGCTGCGCTTACCGTTTCCATTTCAGAAGTTTTTGACGCATCTGTATATATTTGGTAATATCTTTTGTACTTGTCTTTAATCACTTGAAACCGATAGGTAGAATTATATGTAATGAAGTATCAGATTTAGGATATAGTAGAAGATTTGTATTACATGTGGGGAGTTTTATGGTCCAAGGAGGAGGGTAGTTTATTTCATTGGAAATAACTTTCGGGAAATTGAAACCTGTGATTCTTTTACTAAATGATACAGAAAGAAAGGGTCTTTGTCCAAAAATTAAATGAAAATTGTCAGAAATTGTGTAGGAGTAAGCAAGGTTATTAGAGTTTGCTCCTATTTTAGCTGCATATTGTAGGCTTTGTGTCTTCTAATTGAAAGAGGTGATTCATCAGCTTCTACATAAAAACTTTCTACTGGACTGTTCTTGTAGGCTCCAAATGAGAAAATTTGTTCAATCATTATTAGATTTTTTAATTCTGGAAAATCCAATTCGGAAATCGCGAATAAGTTGCAATTCTCACGCTATAGTGTAAGAAATATAGTCAGAAAATAAAAAACTACAGGTTCGGTTGTCACAAAACCTAGAAATGTACGAAAAAGTAAAATATCCAAGATCGAAGGGCATTAAGACGCATTTTAGTGAAAAGTCGACGAGTAAATTATATGGAGTTAAGCATTTTATGGAGTGACGTTATTGGAAGACACGTTTCTAGATCTACATGTCAGCGAGAGGTCCATAAATTAGGATTTAGTTTAGTACTTACAAAATAAGTTTTATAGTTGAAAAAATCAGTACTAATTGTTTTTAATAAATTTCATTATATTTTAGGCCAAGGAAAAGCCATTTTTAACATTACAAAAAGAGAAAAATAGACTAAGATGGTCAAAAGAGTATGAAGATTGGACTCAGTCTCAATGGGGTTCAATACAGTGGAGTGATGTGTCCAGATTTGAAGTGTGTGTTGGAGACAGTAGGCGTCGCGTCATTCACGTGAAAAATAAACCTTTCCATCCCGACTGTCTGAAGAGAAAAGTAAAATTTCCTGCATCTGCCATAGTCTAGGGCAGCATGTCATCTAAAGGTGTGGGAAAGTTACATTTTCTCGAGGAAATTGTAAACACAGACAAATCTTTGAATATTAGAAGAATCTTTTTTACCGATTATGGAACACTGTTTAATATCAGCGGAAGATTTACCTTCCAGCGGATCTTCCAACAGAATAACGCAGGTTGACATACCTCAAAAAAGAGTTTAAAATGGATTGAAGACCATGACGTACCACTTCTGGAATGTGTTTCTGACAGTCCTGACTTGTCCCCGATAGAGACTTCGTGGCACGAAATAAAAAAAGCTTTGAGAAAACATCCTGCCAGGTCCCTCAACAAATTGAAGGAAAAAATGCAAGAAATATGGGATTCCTTTACATTAGAATTTTGTCAGAACTTGGTAAAAACTATGCCTCGGAGAATTGTTAATGACATTAAAAATAAAGGGGATGTAACTCAGTGTTTTTCCTAATATTTCATATTCTATGCGGTTTTTTTTTAATTTTTTATTATTCTATTTAAGCAATAGTTTTCATTACGTTATAAATCATTTTCTATAATTAGGAAATTTAAAAATATTGTTCGATGAATTAAAACTTCTTAAATTCACGCTGCGCTTCTATTTTTGTTCTATAAAATTTAATTTTCTTATCAATCTAACGTTGGGCCAAATGATATGGGAAGGGAATCGTATTATAGTGTATTTTTATGTATGAGAGAGTAATAAAACAATAAATTATGTACGCAAATCCCTAAACTGTTGATACGGGTGACTCAATGAAAAACAGATATTTGTCAACAAGTTTACAGAAGTATATAGGAAAACAATTTTAAATTGAGTATGACCACCAGGTATAAAGGTTGGAGCAGAATAGAATACAATAGTTGTGAGGGTTACTAATCCCTAAATAAGGTTGCCAGTGTCGGAGTGATGGAGGTTAACAGGTACTAATGAATTTGCAAGAAATGTAAGATGTTTATTTTATTGGTTATATATATAACCAATAAAAGTTTAATAAGTACCTACCTATTTGCAAAATAAGGTTTAATTCTTTAGATAAAATAAAACGTTTTATTTTATCTGAAATGAGTGCATTCCGCGAAGTAAGGGTTTTAACAATTAAACATTTAATTCTTTAATTCCAGGAATCTACGACAGTAATTGACTAGATAATTTCCTTCTAAACTTATTCCACAGAAAATGTGATAGTGGGTTTTTCCATTTTGTAGGAAGGTCCAAGTGGCGTATTCAAAATTCTTAACAGTTCACTAAAAGTAGGTACTTCAGTTGCAAGGTGCAGTTTATTGTGTATACTAGTGTTATGGAAAATTTGGAAGTGCCGTGTAAACGCCGAAAAATTGGTCCTCTAACAGTTAATGAAAAAACATTAATATTTAATTGTTTTAAATCATTTACAGACAAACGTTTATGTGAAAGTGTTGATGAGACCGTTGAGTTAGTTAGCAGTACACTTGGTGTTGGGAAATCTACGATTTACAGAGTTATTAAAGAAGAGAAATGTGGTAGTTTTCAAATGCCACGTAATGCTCCAGGGAAACCAAAATTTCAAATAGAATATCATTTTAAAGAAGGACTTCGACGGAAAGTGCATGAATTCTTCTTTAGACAAGAATTTCCAACATTGGATAAAGTTCTTGTCTCAGTTCGAGATGATAAGGATTACCCAGAAATGAGTCGAAGTACGTTATGGAAACTTTTAAAAGAAATAGGCTTCCGCTGGAAAAATAATCCCAGAAAGTCTATTTTATTAGAAAGAAGCGATATTGTCATATGGAGAAGACATTTTCTAAGAACCATAAAGGAAATGAGAAACCAAAAAAGAAAAATATTTTATCTTGATGAAACATGGATCAACGAGGGTCATACACCAAATAAATTTTGGCAGGATGAAACTGTTACAAGTCAAAGGCACGTTTTTGTAAATAACTTATCTACTGGTTTAAACCCATCATCAGGAAAAGGACGCAGGCTGATAATAGTACACATTGGCAGTTCAGACGGTTTTGTTGAAGGTGGTTTATTAACTTTTGAATCAACTCGTACCGGTGACTACCATGAAGACATGAACGCTGATGTCTTTCAAGAATGGTTCGAACAAATGATAGATCTTCTTCCTAAGAACTGTGTAATAGTAATGGATAATGCAAGTTATCACTCCAGACTTATAGAAGGACTGCCCACAACCAAGTGGTTAAAAAAAGACTTGCAGAATTGGCTGAGTTAAAAAAATAGTACGTACCATCCCGGATCTATAAGAAAGGAACTTTATTCGTTGTGTGCCCTTCATAAAGAAAAATTTAAAAAATACGAAATTGATGAAATTGCCAAAAATCGTGGAATGACAGTACTTAGATCCCCACCATATCATTGTGAATTAAACCCGATTGAACTGGTATGGACACAGATAAAGAGTGAAGTTTCAAGAAAAAATACCACTTTTAAAATTCATGATGTTAAACAGTTGTTTTTGGAGGCCGTAAATAATGTAAAACCTAAAAACTGGGAAAAGGCAGTAAATCACACTATTAAGAAGAGGAAAAAATGTGGAAGCTGGACAATATTACTGATAAAATGATGGAGCCAGTTATTATAAATCTTGGTTCTGAAAGTTCATCTTCTGAATCTGATTTGGATTTGTAACAAGTAGCTGTAAGTTTTATATTAATATTTTTATTTATCTATTTAACATACCTTAGACGGTTTTAAAAACTCTTTTTCTCTTTTGGAATTTTTAAAAATTAAAAAAAATGTGAATTTTTTAAAACCCTTTTTAATGTAGGCCAGTCAGTTCTAATATAGTGTGTGATAAAAGAGGTCACTTTTGTTTACATACACATAACACTTTATAACACTGAAATTATTAATTTATTTTTTACAATTATTCAAAGTAATTTTTCAATTAATCTTGAGCACGCCTATGCATTACTCTCTCGTTCATAAAAATAAACTATAGTGTCGTTAAATGTATCATTACTTTATAATAACATTCCCATATCATTGGTTAAAAAAGTAATACAAAAGCAATGGGATGAAATAAAAAAATATACTGGCCCTAGATTCCCTCCTGCTTTATCCGAACTTGGAACCGGCGACAATTTTGTTAAGCTGGTCAGTCCACCCAATCGCACTGCAAGAGGAGTTAAGATTATTTTCGATTTCTCTAAATGTAATCACCTTAAAGAAGCGTTTCCAATCTGCGAAACAAGCAATTTCCGAACAACGCAATAAAATATGCACTATGCATGTTTGTAATTACTTTAATACTAGTTATTATGGAGTAATTTGAAATAAGACATGCATTTATCTTATTGTAATTGCATTTCATTTGAACTTTTTGCGCAATTATAAATATAATTGGAATTGTTTTTCAGCTTTAAAAGCGTATAAAAACAAACGGATACTCCTGTTACTGCGTTTTGTTAATAAACTCAAGATGGTTCTTTCTATGGACAGGTGGAAAGGCAAAGTAGCTGTTGTTACAGGTGCCAGCTCTGGAATAGGAGCAGCCATTGCAGAACTTTTAGTGGAGAATGGACTTTTGGTAATAATATTGAATATTTAATTAATACAATTACACGATAACAACTCTATTGTATTGTTGATTTCGCTGACACTATATTTATCACCATCATTATCATTCAGCCATCGCATTCACTGCTGAGTATAGATTTCCCTTAATTTCTTTCAATGTTCTCTAAACGGGGCCACTTGTAGTCAGTTTTCCGCTACTCTTTTTACGTCGTCAGTTCATTTAATCAGTGATCGTCCTCGGTTTCTTTTATAGTTTCTGGGCCTCCATTTCATTCGTCTTATAAATAGTACATTTTGTGTTCTAGCTAGGTGCCCTGTCCACTTTCACCTAAGTTTCGTGATTCTTGGGATGATGTCTTAAATGCCTAATCCTTGCTTGATGTGTTGGTTTGTTATGTGGTCTCGAAGGGTCACACCCAGCATTGCACGTTCCGTGGTCCATGTAACTCTGAGTTAATTTGCGGATTTTTGCGTCAGTCTTAAATTCTGCTCTACATGCTTGGTACAGACGAGAATTAAATTTCTTAGAATATACCTTAGTATGTTAAATGCAGCCCATGACAGGCTTATTTGTTTTAAGTTTTTTAATTTATCTACATTAAAACATTAAAGCTACTATCGCAACTCGCAATGTCTGGTTTCTGAGGCATATGTCAGTATTGGTTTTACAGTGGCTTGATAAATTCTTGACTTCATCTCAGTGTTAATGTATCTGTTTCTCCATACAGTTTTATTAAGGCATCCTTCCAGCCTATTTGCTTTTTGTACTTGATCTCTCAGTTTTTTGTCTAGGTCTCCATAGCTAGACAGTATAATACCCAAGTACTTTATTTCCATTACTTGTTTAATACTGATGCCATCCATTTCTATTTTACATGTAGTTGGTTCTTTGCTGACTACTATTGTTTTATTTTCTGAGATGAGATTGTCATATTAAATTCTTTTGTTCTTATGTTAAATCTGTGGACCCGTCTTTGCAGACTATCTTTATCTTTCCATTTAATAACCATACCTTTTCATTTAATAAAAGTTATTCCATCATTATATATATGGGTTACCATATAGTCCATACCTATGGATAGGTTTTTGTACCTATCTTAACATTTGGATGTGAAAGCTGAATTTCAATGAAGTATCTAAGAAGAGTACTAAGGGTGACCAGAATTGACAGGATACGGAATGATGAAATAAGAGAACGCCTTAAAGTCCAATCAATAGAGAGGAAAATTGAAGAAGTCCAACTGAGATGGTACGGCCACATGGTAAGGAGGGATAAAAAGCCAAGTGAAACAAGTGTGGGAAGCGAAAAGAACCTTGAAAAGACCGAGGGACAGACCCATGAAGACCTGGGACGATGAACTTGCCGCCATCCTAGACAGGAGAGGAGTCACCAAGGAGCAAGCGAAGAAATTGGCAAGCAATAAGAAGAATTGGAGGAAGTTTGTATATGAAACCTAAAAAGACACTTTATACCCAACCCCTTAGGGTAAAAGGGTTATAGATTATATATATATATATATATATATATATATATATATATATATATATATATATATTCCATCATTACTTGCAAAGGTAATCATACTCACCCTGCTTTAGTTGCATCCCGTAATAATTTTGGAAAATGCTTTGTGTTTGACATAACTGTTCCACATGAATAAAATCCGAGGTCTTTTAGTTTTAGTCACAGGAATTAAAGAAATTATCAAAGAATAAAATATAATTTTTTTGTTTTAAGTTCTCTGTTAACCTTGGAACTACTTTTTAGCCTAAAGATTGTTGTACATAGTCATCTGTTTTGCCTGTATCAACATCTTCTTCTTCTTACGGTGCCTATCCGTTCAGGATGTTGGCGATCAACATGGCTATCCTAACTTTGCTTGCTGCTATTCTGAATAGTCCGGTTGTCGATGTATTAAACCACTTTCTCAAGTTTTGAAGCCAATATATTCTTTTTCTCCCTGATCCTCTCTTTCCAAATAACTTGCCCTAAAGAATGAATTGCAACAAGCCGTATCTCTGTTCATTCCTCATATCATTTCCAATATATTCTAGTTTAAGATCTTTGATGGTGTTAATAATCTCGCATTCCTTGCATATTCTACGTAGGAGCTCAACATTAGTCACACGATTCACTCATGAAATTCTTAAAATATGTCTGTAACACCCCATTTCGAATGTCTCGAGTTGTCTTAAAGAATTTTCGGAAAGTGTCCAGGCCTCTACTCCATATAACGCAGAAAATACATAGCATCTAATGAGAAAGATTTTGGTAGCTAGTGGTAAATCGTGACTTCTGAAAAGAGACATCATCATTATGAAGGTTGCACTCGCTTTTCCTATGCGTTGTTTTATTGTACTGGAGTGATCCCATTGGCTGTTAATGTTGATACCAAGGTATGTGTAACTGTCCACCCTGTCAATTGGATGTTGGTTAACCAAAACCTGTGTATTTAATATTTCGCGCTTACTGACTACCATGTACTTTGTTTTCTTCGTATTAAGATCAAGTCCGTGTTCTCTACCTATATCTGATATAAGCGACATTATTCTTTGCAAACCGTCCAGACTATCTGCAAAAACTACTGCGTCGTCGGCATATCTAATGTTGTTTAGATGCATTCCGTTGACTAATACGCCTTCTTGTAGTTCTCCCAGCGCTTGCTCGAAGATATATTCAGAGTATATATTATATAACACCGGGGACAGAATGCATCTTTGCCTTACTCCTCTATCTATGGAGACTGCCTCTGTCAATTATTCATCCACTTTAATATTGGCTGTTTGGTTGTAATATAAATTATAGATAATTCTCAAGTCCCTATCATCTAACCCCACTTCTTTCAAGATGTTTTTATAGTCTGCCTTTTTGTAGTCCATAAAACAAATATACACATCACAGTTAACATTCCTGCATCTTTGCATAAGCACTTGGACAGCGAATAGAGCCTCTCGGGTGCCTAAGGAATCGCGGAATCCAAACTGCGTCCATGATACTTTTTCTTCGCATTTTTTATATATTCTGCCGTGTATCACTTTGAAGAACGTTTTGTGTTTGAACATTAGGCCAATTGTTCTGTACTCTTCGAATGTCTTGGCATTTACTTTTTTTGGTATGGTGTATCAACACAAAAATTATATAAATAGCAATTTTTATCAGCGAGTGTCCAAATCTTGTAGTCCCTTTTTATTGGCTTTTTGGGCATAAACTGTTTCAATACGCTTCTACCTTAGTACTTTATCTAGGACTCATCGATGGCTATATTAGCTATTGGTTTGTAGTATTTTTGAAAATTATTCTTCACTTCATTGAGGAAAGGCCGGATTTATACAGCTTGTCATATTTATTCTCTCTTGTTTTTGGAATTAAGTTGTTGTCATTTAGATGAATATGACTTAGCAGCCAACCAAATTTATCAATTATCTGTAAATTCATGCCAACCAAGGCATGAATTTACAGATATAATTATCATGAAGATCTTTATTTACACTTTAAAAGTCCCTATAACTTGACTGTGGTTTTATACCCATTAGCTGATTTAGACTAATGAATAATTTTATTTCCTTCACGGCTGTTGGAGTATATGTATTTCTTTTGATTTTTTTTTTAATTTCTATTTCGCATACAGATTGGGTTGAAAAGTAATTTTATCAAAAATATTATCAGATATAAACATATTAAAAAATCTGGCTAAGGGGTAAGCAAGATGTCTTCTTTTTGAAATCATTCCTAACATAATCCTTGTTCATCAGTAAAATCTTTTACTGGAAGTATTTTTTTATTATTCTGTGTATATAATGAAATTGTCTTTTTTTAAATCGTAGACAAAGGATCATCATCAACTTATCTCCCAACACATCTTCCTCACTAGACACATCGTCATTATTTAGTGCAAACTCATCACTCGTTGGTTCAAACATCTCGTCTTCACCTGCATCATCATCAATTTTTGATTCTTGATCACTAGGAATTTTTAACTTTATTAAGCTCTTTTTAACTAACATAGCTATCAGATATTCCTATAAAAATTATTTTATTAAAATTTTTTCTATAGGTAGTAGGTGTTGCTAGAAGAAAAGAAAGAATAGATGCGTTAGCTCAAAAACTTAAAGGCAAAAAGGGCAAGTTGTACTCAGTCAAAGCAGACCTCACCAAAGAAGAAGATATAAAAGACATTTTCAAATGGACTTCAGCAAATGTTGGTCCTGTAGCTATCCTAGTTAACAATGCTGGTTGCGTATTTAAAACAGATCTAATAGATGGCGACACAGAAGCATGGAAAAGAACTATAAATGTTAATCTGTTAGCATTATGTATAGCAACAAGAGAAGCAATTAGTATTATGAAAAAGAATAATATTGATGGACATATTATTCATATAAATAGCGTATTCGGCCATAGAGTAAGTAATTTTCCACAAGTGTCCGTGTATCCAGCCACCAAACATGGAGTAACTGCTTTGACAGAAACATTAAGGAACGAACTGAACGCTTTAAAATCAAAAATAAGAGTGACGGTAAGCAACTTCTTATAAACAGTATAGTATATATTAATTTTCTGTAGTATAAAGATATGAATATACTTGCTTGTCTCTGTGATAGGAGTAATGTAAAGAGGTGTGTCTAATTCTGCCTTAGACTGAAAAATGTGACTTAGATTTACTTATTAGTAGGAGTTACTTAGCGTTTATTAACTTTATTAAAGTACCTAATTGACCAAAATAGCTATTTTATCTAATTACTTATTCATGTTTCAAATATTAAATAAATTTTAGAGCATAAGTCCTGGCTTAGTTGATACAGAGATGATTACCGAACTTAAAAAAACTGAATTTTACGAACAACTGAAAAAATCAGTATTAAAATCGGAAGATATAGCTGATGCGGTTTTTTACACCCTTTCCACGCCACCACATGTACAGGTAAAGATAATTATTTAAAAAGTATTATACCTTCCTAACAGGATGTTTTTACAATGTATAAGAAAAGTAAAATAACTTATCTTAAAAATATAAGTATAGATTCTATAGGTGCTAAAGTACAGGTCCACCTAATTTAATAGTTAACTCTTCTTCTTCTTCTTCTTCTTCTTGTAGTGCCTATCACTTTAGGATGTTGGCGACCATCATGGCAATCTCAATTTTTCACACTGCTGCTCTGAAAAGATATGTGATTGTAGATTTTTCAGCCAGGAAATCGTTCGCCTTCATGGTCCACGTTCTTCTTTTACTTTTTCTGTGTGACCCCCCAATAAAAATGTCCCATTTCCTTGTTGTCTAACAAAAGTACTTAACAAATGTAATAAACTAGCGCATATAAAACATAAAAAAGCAATTACTTTCCTTTTGAAGGCACAAATGGACATTGCACTTCTGGCATTTCCATCTTGATTTTGGTGTACAATCAGGGTTTTTGCATCTTAAAGGTAAAGATAGATGTGGATGCTCTGGATAATGTCCAATAATATCAAATTGCACCTCAGTAAGAGCTCTAATTTGAATGTTTTGGCGTTTTGCAGCCACAGCTGTACTAGATGTATTGCTTGAAGGTCTTCCCCGTTTTCCGTCATTGAAAAAGTTGACTTTTCTGAGGGCTTCACCAGTTTTCATCCTAAAGTATGGAAGGTCTATGATATTTTTTTTTGTGGAATTCCCAAAGTATGCATATATCGTTTATATACTCTAACCAAGAGTTTTTTAGGCCATGTCAACTGCATGAAAGATTAGAAGAACAGTCCATTTTCTGCAATGATTTTTTGTTCTGTAAAACGCAATAAGAGCATCTGTTTTATCCATACCACCCATGGACTTAATATACTTTTGTATAACTTCGGGCCGACTTACGTCAATGATTTATTTGTTTTTTTTTATTCCAATGTTTTACAACATCTTCTGTACCAACTCCAACGAAGTTGGATACCATTATCACAAGCTTACCTAATCATCTGGTTACTACAATTCCATCAGAAGAGATAATTTGTTCCGTTGATCCTCTTTTGAAAAATCTTTTACATTAGTTAGAAGTGGTTTAGACAATCTATTGATCCTCGCAGTACCAGCAACAAGTATTGATTTTTGGTCGAGAATTCTCTGTCTTACTTGTATTTCTTCTTCGCAATCACTAACACATCCTTCTATGTCGACAGTTGTTTTAGCTCTTCTAGCAGTTTCTTAAAAACAAAGATATTAAGGAACAGCCTAGAAAACATCACGATAGATAACATCAATTTAGAAAAGGTAGAACAATATATATATATATATATATATATATATATATATATATATATATATATATAAGAGTAAGAAAAAAGATTAATTTAAACAAAAGGTCAGAAATTCAAAATTTAAGCAAAATTTATAATTATATAATTTCTATTTAATTTATGCAATCAGTAAAATATCACATTTTGAATTTTCCATGTATTTGTTACATTTTTTCGGGCATCTATCAATGGTGAATAAATCTTCTTCTTTTTTGTTACTTAACAAAGAAGAATTTTTTAAACAAAATTTTGTTTTTGACAATATGTCAAAAATAAAAATTTGTAAGTTAGTATTTATGACATTTTAGGCTGGTTGTAGCTATTCTGTTTGTTTATAAATTCAATTTTTTTTTCTTAAGAAACTTCATCTAAATTTTTCAGAGAAACATTTATTAGAATAAGGCATTTTTTTATTAATATTTTTTGTATTTATTATGTAAGCAGTAGTTTTATATAAAAAACTAATTTTATTTGGTGAGTTAACAAAAAATTTTTTATTTCTAGTTCAACTTTGTAAGACATTTTGTATTTTTTAGAAGCTCTTGATAAAAATTGTAATCACAATTGAAAGCTCGAGTAAAAAATAGTCAACAAATAGCCCCTTTTATTGACTCCAACCCATCAAAAACAGTGTTATATATATATATATATATATATATATATATATATATATATATATATCTAGGACATGCAATTAAAAACGAAAAGGAAAATCAAACCCTAGAAATTAAAAGAAGGACACAATTGTCATGGGCTGCTTTTGATAAGTTGAGCTTCATTTTAAAAGCCAGAAAAATTCCAATTCACTTAAAACGAAAAACCTATGACACTTGTATACTACCTGTTGCAACTTATGGATTGGAAACTATGGCAATAACAAGAAAAATGGCAGAACAATTAAGAGTAACTCAACGGGCCATGGAGAGGGCCATGTTAAATAAAAGCCTTAGAGACAAAATTTCTAACACCGAGATACGTCGAAGAACTAAAGTAACCGACATCATGGGAAAATAGCGACATTGAGATGGCACTGGGTAGCACATGTAGCAAGACAAGTCACCAACAGATGGTCTCATAAAGTGACATTCTGGAGACCTCGAGAAACAAAAAGAAGCGTGGGAAGACCTAAAAAGAGATGGATAGACAATATAACTGCTGTAGCTGGAAAGCAGTGGATGAGAATTGAAAAAGATAGGGAAGCGTGGAAGCAATTGGAGGAGGCCTATGTCCAACATTGGATAAATGAAGGCTGAAGAAGAAGAAATATGTATTTAAATAATGGGTACAATAACTATACCCAACATGACTAAAAGGATTAAAAAAGGAACTGTTTTTATTTTTAGTAAAGCTTTAATTTAGCTAAGCAATATTAAACTACATCTACATATAGATGTAGGTTTAAGGGGTTATTAGTAAATCCATATTTAGCCATTTCTAAAAACAATGTAACTTTCATACAAAGAAAGATTGCTTTAATTACTATGTTTATTTAAAATTTTACAGCAAACTATTTATGTTTTCAGATTCACGAACTAACAATTAAGCCAGTGGGTGAACAGTTTTAAAATTGCTTAGTTTTTAAACCGGTAAAGTTGGATTGTGTTTTGTTTATAGATAAATAAAGTTTAATTTTTATAAACTAGTTTTATTTATCCCAGAAATTAATATTTATCGTGGAAGATGTACAATAAGCCAAATAAGCTGTAGACTAAGTCTAAGTCCTCCAAGTATTCAGAACAAATTCAACACCAGGGACATTCAGGTCTATGGGGTAGACCTCCAAACACTCTACAAGCACGTCATCCATGGAGCTGGATACAGAAGTCATAGTTAACGTAGATAAAATCATCAAAACTCACAGAAAAGAATATCGGACGTTATTACAAGAGATATTACGACAACCCAAGTCCAGTATTACATAAGATTATATTGAAGCCAAGTCCAATACAATCCAGAGTCGATAAGAAGTCTCTACCTATATTTATAGCAGGAGTGATAAAAAAGAAAAAGAAACCAAAAAGAAAGTTGACTAAACCTAACCTAAACATATGCCACGAAACCACAAAACGCAAAAAATGTGCCCCAAATCACAAAGCGATATAATGCACATTTCCGTAAATAACAAAAATCTAGCTCTCTATTTGTGTATAAAATATATACTATAAGACAACTTTTCTGAAAATATATAAAAACGCTATTTTTGCACAAAATAAGACAAATACGCAAAGTGTGCTAAGTGCATAAATGGTCTTGTCTACTGATAACTAAGCATAAAAAGATCAATCTAAAAAAATAGGAGAAAAAGCTGAGTAACAAAATAATGTTTTTCTTTTTTCAGAAACCATAAATCCCCTAAAATACTCTAAAAGGAGAATTATCTAAAAAGAATACCAAAAAACAGAAGTCCCACACAGAAACCAAGGGATTTTTAGTACAGTTAATGTTTTTATAACAACACCTACACTAATTAGTAGTCAATGTTATTTGTTGGTTTAAAATGGCACAAATAATGAGTGTCTCAAAATTCACGCGCGATTTTAATTTGTGCCATTTGTGCAATAAAGCGTTGGCACCACCCAAAAAAAAACAGTTTGACATCTACAGTTAATAAAACTGAAGCGTACTACGAGAGAACAACGCGTTTTAATTGTTAAACTATTTTAAAATTAAAAGAAGTTTGGCAAACCCAGTTCATGCAAAATATGATCGGAATAATGCGTCAACACTAAAGAGACTAATTGAAAAATTTAAGAAAACTGGATCAATAATTGGTGTTGATCCAACTGGTTATCCAAAAACAAGCCGCCCAAATGTTAATATTGAAGCGATGTGTGAAGTAGAATATTGAAACAACTGTAGAATAGATTCCAGATACAGAATGCTAATACACAATATATATAAGAAAGCAACAATGACAGTACAATTGGAAGAAAACACAAAACCTATACCAATTAACAGAGGAGTGCGACAGGGCGATGTTATTTCTCCTAAATTATTTACATTAGCACTGGAAGATGTTTTCAAAACAATGGAATGGACAAACATGGGAATAAACATAAATGGAAAGAAACTAAACCATCTAAGATATGCAGACGATGTAGTAATAATAACATCAAGTTTTGAAGAACTACAAACTATGCTAACCGAACTAGCCAAGGAATCTGAACAAATAGGCCTAAAAATGAATCTTACCAAAACGAAAACAATGACAAACACACAAGATAATAGAAACGTAATACTAAATGGAATCACAATAGAAGCGGTTAATGATTATATATATTTGGGACAGATAATAAAAATAAATAAGGAAAACCAAACAGCGGAGGTAAAAAGAAGAGTCAGATTAGCCTGGGCAGGATTTGGGAAATTAAAATGGGTCCTAAAGAATAAGAAAATACAACAGTACTTAAAAACAAGAGTGTTTGACCAGTGCATACTCCCAATTCTCACATACGCATGCCAAACATGGACTCTGACCAAAGCAAACATGGATAAGATAGTGAAGACACAAAGAGCCATGGAGAGAGCAATGTTGGGAGTAAAATTAAAAGACAAGAAGCAAAACATCTGGATAAGAAACAAAACAAAAGTCAAAGACGCAGGTCAACATATAGCCAGGCTAAAATGGAGTTTCGCAGGTCATAACGCCAGACAAACAGACAATAGGTGGAACAACACGATACAACATTGGAGACCATGGACAGGAAAGAGAGCAAGAGGACGACCCCAGATGAGATGGGGAGATGACATTAGAAAGATAGGAGGAATACACTGGAAACAGAAAGCACAAAACAGAAGCGAATGGAGGAAACTGGGGGAAGCCTATGTTCAAAATTGGACGAATTAAAGGGCAAAAGAAGAAGAAGAAGAAGAAGTGTGAAGTTGTTGGTGAAATTCCAGAATCAATAATTCGGAGTTGTGGACAAGAACTGCCAATTTCAAGAAACTCTCTGTATTGTATACTCTGTAAGGGATCTGCATCTTCATACTTACAAAATTTAAGTAATACAAGAACTGAAGCCTACTGACCATACGCAGCGAAGAGATTTCGATGAAACACATTTTCACCTTAATGTCTGTTGTGATTTGTCTCCTTTCTACAACATAAGTAGCGGGCCAGACCTTGGAACTGGCTAAGTATGTATTCTGGGATTAAATATTCGAAGTCGAAATGGTAATAATAATGCTTGATGCATTTAAGGACACTTTCTATGTTGCACTGTTACAAAAGAAAATTATTTATAAACATATTTAACTAAAACTAAATCCTCTTATTTTTCTGCTATGTGCGAACGAAAATTTACGTAGATCCCATATACTTTTACACAAATCTTGACAGGTCGAGATGTACCTACTGTCTGGTACGAGGACTGAGAACGAAGTCTGGTGCCTCTGCGACGGCTATCTCACGTTAGAATCTAGAGAGGAGTCTCTGAGAGGCCGTTATGCACCTACTGTCAGGTACGGGAACCAAGAACGAACTTTGTGAATCCAACACTCTATAGAAAATAGGGACTTGTCAAATTTCAATCGTCTTTAACAAACTTCCGTTCCACCGTTGGGATCTAAGAACCCACTTTTTGCTATACGTCTACAAAGAAACTGCATAATAATAAAATATGAAAGTTAAAAAAGATATTGCCCTTTTACGAGTTCAGAAAACAAACAAACATTATTGACCCAGTTCTAGGTAAACAAAAAACTGGTTAGTACTAGGAAAAATCATTTATGACCAGTTGTTGTCATAAAAAACTCTTTATATTGAGAATGGAAGAATTAGCGGTAACACAATATCGAAGTGTGTTTTGATACCAAAAGAATCAACCTGTTTTAGAAGCCGTCTCAACGAAAAACAGCTGAGACAAAACACTCATTTTATTTGAGCTGATATAGCAAACCAGCAAATTATTCAAGATATCACTGTACTCAATAAACTATCAGTAGGAAGCGACCACAGACCAGTAAGAGCTAGAGTAACGATCAATCTACAAAAAGAAAGAGCAAACATGATAAACAGTTGTAAACGCATAGTTTGAAATTCACCAAATCATCCAGAAGCATACATAAGAAATATAGCCGAAACTTTACAGAGTAATAATCCCAAACCTCTAAGTATCGGCGATCACAATAAATTAATAACAGACTCAGTTAGAAACGCACAACTCAAATTTTGCAAGAAAAATGACACCAAAAGTGAAAAGATTAGCAAAGATACAAGGGCTCTCATGGAAATACGACGAAACCTAAGAGAGAACGAAAAGGGAAACAAAGAAGAATATAAAAAACTAAATAAAAGAATTTCAGCGGAAATTATAAAAGATGTAAGAAGTTATAATACTAATGTAATTACTCAAACAGTAGAAGAGAACAAAGGTTTAAAGATAATAAAAAGAAAACTTACGCAAAGTAAAAAAGAAATATACAAGCTGAGAGATAAAGACGGAAAGGCAACAACAGATAAACAAAACAATCTGAAAATAACTAGAGAATTTTATAAAGACCTCTATACCAGCCAAAGACCACAAGAGAATTTCCCGACACGAGTAAAGACTCTCATAAATCAGGGATCGGAAATACTTTTACCCATTACTGTGTCAGAAGTAAGAGCAGCTTTAAAGGAAATGAAGAACCATCGATCGCCTGGAGTTGATGGACTCGTTATCGAGGCAATAAAAGCAGGTGGAGAAATTTTATTAAAATCAGTAAGCGAACTGTTTACTAAATGCTTACATGCGAATAGTAAAAGACTGGAACAATGCAGTAATAGTCTTGTTACACAAAAAAGGCGATATTACTAAATTAAAAAATTATAGACCCATCAGCCTCTTGACACATATATGTACAAACTCTTTATGAAAATCTTAACAAAGAGGCTAACACCTAAACTTGATTTCTATCAGCCCAAAGAACAGGCAGGCTTCAGGGCAGGATATGGCATAAATGACCATTTGCATACCATAAAGATCTTAATAGAAAAGTGCATCGAGTACAACATACCACTGGTTCTTGCATTTGTCGATTACGAGAAGGCTTTTGATTCTGTAGAGTTTGAAACAATACTGGAAGCCCTAAATCAAAGCCGAATAGATTACAGGTACACGACACTAATCAAAAACATCTATCAGAACGCTACATCAAGTATACGACTGCACGAAGACACAGAAAAATTCAGCTTAGGTCGAGGAGTTTGACAAGGAGACAATATTTCACCAAAATTGTTCACGGCAGCTCTAGAGTCAATATCTAAGGGTACTCAATGGCAAGATATGGGCATCAATATAGATGGAGGAAGATTAAATCACCTAAGGTTTGCAGATGATGTTGTATTAATCGCAGATAACTTACATGATACAGTTTCTATGATGCATTCGCTTAAAAGTCTGTCTGAAAGAGCAGGATTAAAGATAAACTTTGAGAAAACTAAAATTATAACAAATCTCGTAATGAGTGGAAATATAACTATTGACAATAATACCATACAACAAACAGACACTTACAAATATCTGGGACACGAAATCAAAATAAGCAGACACAATCAAACACATGAAATACAGAGGCGAATAGGTCTAACATGGGCAGCATTTGGCAAATTAAGCCATATTCTAAAAAGTTCAATTCCCATGTGTCTCAAGCGAAAGGTTTATAACCAATGTGTTTTACCTGTACAAACTTATGGAGCAGAGACTTTAACACTCACGCAAAAATCTTCGAATAAACTTAGAGTTATACAACGAGCCATGGAACGTGCAATGCTGAACGTGAGCCTTCGAGACCACATAACAAACCAACAAATCAGGCGAAGATCAGGAGTTCAAGACGTCATCGAAAGAATCACGACGCTTAAGTGGAACTGGGCAGGGCACTTAGCCAGAACACAAGATGGACGGTGGACAAGACGTATTATGGAATGGAGGCCCAGAAATTATAAAAGAAGCCGAGGACGACCACCGTCTAGATGGACCGATGACATTAAACGCGTAGCGGGAAACTGGCTACAAGCGGCCCAGTGTAGAGAACACTAAAAAGAACTGAGGGAGGCCTATGTCCAGCAGTGGACGCGATTGGCTGATTGATGATGATATATATCGAAAATAAACAGAATATTTTTTTTGTGTTTTCTTAATAATTTTAACAAAAATAATGAGGGATTATTGGTAATATGTTAAGACTTTAACAATGGCTATAATAATCATCAAAATAGTCACATTTGGAGTTGTGAACCCACAACTCCAAACTGACTGACGAAAAAAATACATCAACAACGTGTCACTGTTTGGTCCTCTTCCTTCTTTAATAATAAGGCTAGTAAGCAGTGACTGTTACTTGTGCTCGATAGCGCAACATGATAACACAGCTCTTTCTATACTAATGTGGACGACATGTGGTTTCAAGACGATGTGACATACCATACAGCCCGAGAAACAATTCAATTACAACATGAGACACTTCCTGGTCGTCTACTGTCTCGTATCGGTGATCAGAATTGGCCGCCTAGATCGTGTGATTTAACACCACTGGATTTATTTTTATGGAGTTATTTGACAAGCCAACAACCAACGTACACAACAAGCTTACGACCACTCGTGCATTACAGGAGAAAATTCAACGCTACATCATCGAAATTCAGCCACATTTATGTAAAATGGTAATAAAAATTTAAAAAAACTCTAAAACAAGCAATATTTTTGGGACACCCATAAATGAGTGTTTTATTTCAATACGCATTATTTTACTCTAAATATTGCTCAATCTATAAAATTTTAGTAGTTTTAAAATAGTATTCAGCAGAAGTAGATCTTTTATATTAGCTAATTACTATAAAAACAAAATACAAAACAAGTTCTTGTTAGAAGGAATTTTAATAATAATTCATCGGAGTAAGATTGTGTCACGATTTTTTTATTTCAATGAAATTTGTTACCTTACAAAACTGGTTTAAAATCTGCAGTATCATACACAAAAAATAATTTGGGAATAGATTATTTAAATAAAATCAAAAATCGAGATGATATTATTAAAATACTTTTTGTAACATTTGTACTAAACAAATAAAACGATCTTTACACTGATTATATAATAATACATTATAAATTACCTTATCTAAGTTATCAAAACATGTTACTTTTGTTTTTTACATGCCGGCAATTATTTTAATATTAGAGATGATTTGTATTGTATAAATTAGTTAGGTATTTAATTTGCCATGGCCATCATTTTCAGTATTACGTAATGGAAAACATGACTATATTATTTTTTTTTATTATTATTCAGCATATAAATAAATAAGCAGACACTCCTATCACTTCGTTTGGTTAAAAAATCCACGATGGTTCTTTCTATGGACAGATGGATAGGCAAAGTAGCTGTTGTTACAGGTGCAAGTTCTGGAATAGGGGCAGCAATTGCGGAACTTTTGGTTGAGAAAGGACTTTTGGTAAGAATAATTTATATTTTAATAAGAAAGTCACTTGTTTTGTTTATCACAGAACTGAAATTATGAGATTTAATTTTACTGAACCTTTTTATCTATTTATTTATGCTGTAACCACAAGGGTTATTAGCGACCTAAAAAATATAATACAGGTAAAGTTAAAAAATTACAATAATTGATAGAGTCCTGAGTCTTGAGTAAAATAATTTATTGTGTTTAAATGTTCATGTTTTTTCCTACGGCTTCCTTGGAGAGTATTACTCGACAATTTTTACACATTGTCGGCACAGTTTGCGTAAAGAGGTGTTCATGTGTTAAATTACTGTGACCTAGTCGCAAATGTGTGTCGTGTCTATTCGCTGTGGGTTGGAGCCACGGTTTCACTAATTGTTTGATTTCCTTGAGTTTATTTTCTGATACACTCCACTTATTTTGCCACGCACTTAACACTTTATATTTTATTTCTGACTTGAAGTCTGAAAGATGCTAAGTGGTCTAGTTCATCTGCTTCTTTATTTCCTTGTGTAGCTGAATGTGATGGACCAAACATGAATTCAACAGTGATCTTATTATTTTTTAGAGGAATTATTTACCAATGAGTCGGAATCTTATTCCGACAATGAAGTTTTCACTTCAGAGAGTGAACCTATGTGTTTGCCAAGTTTACGTATTAATTTGGTGCTTTTGGTTTTCATTCTTTTGTCATGCATGAGAGTATTTTGAGTACAATTTTGTTACGCTGATTATGTCTTTTGATCTTTGTATATTTTCGAATATATCCACTACTTAATCGAAGCTTAACAATTGTTTTTCCTTTCTACATATTCTCTAACTGGTTCTAGTAATGTTTGGAAATTTAGTATCTCATTTCTCAAGTTTTTGTCATCAGGTTTGGTTTTTTTCTTTAATTGAAGCTTAGGCTTTCACGCGGGTAACGTGATTTCATCTTCTAGGGTTTTTTTCCGGTTGCTTTGTTTGAAGTTATCTGGGGTTCGTGAGAATGTGTATTTTTGTTTGGAGGTAATTGTTTACTTGTTTCGAGTGAGGTTGATTTATGTTTTTGGGTATTATCGAATGCCTCAGACGATGTAGGTTTTGAGATTGTAGTATTAACTGGAGAAGTGGTCAAATTTATAGATGAATTTTGTGGTGAGCATTGTTGGGTTTGGTTTATTGATAAATTTGGGATTGCTACTGTTTGTAATGTGGTTTGAGAAGACCTAGTAAGTGTGGAGGGAGTGGTATTTGAGATTGTGGGAGTATTTTGTAGATTATCTTGTTGAGTATGATATATTGATGAATTTTGTGTTATTTCTGTTTGCAGTGAACTATCATTGTGAGTATGGTTAGAAGGTGAAATATTTGGACAATTACCTGCCAGGTATCCAGTTAATTTGCATTTAAAACATGTTTCGTTTTGGGCTATAAATATGCGATATGATGTTTGTTCCAATTCGATGATAAAATATTCAGGTAGTACAAAGTTGTCTGGAAAAGGTTAAACTAAAATGTGTCTTCGGAAGCTTAGAATATGACTGAAGGTAGGATTGGTTGCTCCTATTCGTAGATATGATCTGTCTGAGAGAGGATTTAAATCTAGTTTTATTATTTTGTCCATTATTAAGTTAAAAGGTTTGCTTGGACATGCATTGGACATAATTAAGCGGACCGATGGAGTTATTAATCTTCTCGCTTCTTGTATATTTCCATTTACTATTATCTTCTTTGTTTCTGCTATAAATTTATCTACTAGGTTTTTAGATGATAGATATATACCTACATATCTACCGTTTGATATACGGGGTGCAAAAATTATATTTTTTTGTTCTGTATGCTGACTCAATCGTTCAAGATTACTGCACCTTTATTTTTTAAAATATTGCTTTTTAAGCTTTTTAAGCATAATTAAGAATATTGCCAATATAATGATAAAGGTTTTTTATTCTGCATCAATTATTTAAATGTAAACAATTAAAATTTTTTATAGTTGTACTAAAAACATGAAAAATGTTGTATTGTATGTAAAAAATGTTTTAAACTCTATGTGTTAATTATTTTTTCCGTTATACCCTTAAAAGGTTGTATGTTTTGTAAGGGTTGTAGTTATTGGAAATGTAAATGAAAGAAAATAAGTTTTTATGGTAAATTTAAATAAAATATCAACTCGTAGTTTTTACAATTTGAATTGGAAATTATAAATTTTACGTTACAACAATATTTTACCAGTAATTACTATTTAAATAGGAATAAGCCACAATTAAAGGTTAAAGTACGTTTATTGATGTTTCAATTTCCACTTCGGAAATCGTTCTCAAAATACAAATATTAGTAAATTAAACAAGTTTTTTTTGTTTTTTTTTTTTAAACAAAAGAACAAGTTCTTTTTGTAGAGATAGATCACACTATGAAGGCATCTGTGAGTTTTTTACCTATCTTAATTCTTGATTGTAAATTTTCATACAGTTCTTTAAGTGCAGCTATATAGTTGTGATTGATGTTCGTTTGTCCTAATACCTTCCACAGTCTCGATACTGGGACTGTATCATATGCTTTTTGTAGGTCCACAAATGTAAGATGAGTTTCCAGATGTCTAGCAGATCTCTTCTCTATTTGTGCATGATTTTACCGACCTAAAACCTTGTTATTTTTCTGCTAGTGTTATAATTTCATTCAGTTTATTTGTTACCACTTTGGTTGTTAATTTTAGTGTGGTGTTTATTAAATTACGTCCTCTGTAATTTTCCGTTTCCAATTTGTCTCCCTTTTTGAAGAGAGGTATAAGCATGCTTGAATAGTTGTTTGGTCAGATCTGGTCCTCCGTACTTTAGTTCATTCGATAGTCTGTCCTCTTCTGGTGATTTACTATTTTTTAATTGCCTAAATGCTTCCTTTTCCTTTTTCTCCTCAATATTTATTTCTTCGTTTGTCGTCATCTCTGGTGAAGGTGGTTCATTATCCTCACCTTTAGCCATTAGGGATCAAAAGTAGTATACCCATGTTTCCTTCTGAATGTGTTTAGTTTTTATTAGTTCGTTCATCTCTTTTCCTTGTCCACTGATCATTCTCCATATTTCTTTTTGTGTTCCGTAAAAATCGTGTTCCATCTGTTTTGAGAAACTCTGCCAGTGTTCCCTTTTTATTTGTCTATCTAAAGTATTCGTTTTATTTCTTTTATTTATAGTGGTTGTTGACCTGGTGTGTTTATTTTGTCTGTATTGTAAAAAGGCTTTTTTCTTTTCTTCGCACTTTGTCCTTACTTCCTCTCTAAACCATTCTGTTTTTTTGATGTGTTAGTCTTCATTACTTTCCTCTCTCCAAATAATTCTGTTGCTGTGTTAATTATGTTATTTTTAAGTTTTCCCCAGCTTTCCTCGATGTTATCGTTTTCTAATATTTTATTTCCAGCGATCTTTTCTGATATTCTTGGCCTGTATTCCGTGGAATCCGTATTTAGTCCTTAGACTTTGATTTTTGTTTCTGTTGGCGCCGCTCTCTTGGGTGAGAAGTATTTCCGGGTGATTCTTATTTTACATAATACTAGGCTATGATCGTTACCTCCATCTGCTGAACTGAGGCATCATCCGTCGATTATTTTCCAAGGATGTATATCCCTGTTGTTCATAACATAATCTATCATCGAACTTAGTTCACGGCTGTTATTAAATGTATATTTCTGTTGGTCTTTGTGGTCAAAAAATGTGTTGTTTATTCTTAGTTTGTTATTCGTGCAAAAGTTAATCATCAGTTCTACATTTTCATTTTTAACATTTTCGTTATGTTTTTGTTTGATTCTGGGTATTACTTGATTCTCTATTCGAGCGTTCAAATTCCACAATATTATCATCTTTCCTTTGACCTGATCTACTACCTGATGTAATTGGCATTTGTATTTTCATTGCTTATCTGTTAATATTTAATTTCAGACCGTTTTACTTTACTACTTATAATATCTACTTTAAAATTAATTTGGGTGACCTTAAATATTCTAAAATTTAGAATTTGCTTTTGAATTATATTAGTTACGGAATATTGCTTGCCTGAAGCATTGGCACATCGTATTATGGTTATTCACTGGTCTGGAACATATATGACTTGATGTTTTTTCCGTTTTTATATCAGGGCATGCATTGAATTGCCCTAGCTTTGTGAATGGCTTACTTAAAAAAACAAAAAAGGTTTAATAATGTAAATGTTAAACTTTTTCACTGCATAGGAGCACATAGCATAACTATGCTATTTTTGTTTTGTCTACCGCAACTAGCAGAAAAAATGGAAAAGTCTGCAAATCCCCTTTTTACTTTCATTTTAATAAATAAATACACAGCACTACTAATTTCGTTAGCACCTTTTCGGCCAACAGTCTTATCCCAGACATAGCAGTGTCCTTCATTGACTCCAAAATCAAAGACTGTAAAATTGTATGATGTAAAATTGATGAATTGTATGATGCAGACACTTCTGATATTTAAGTGGATAAGATCTTCTGGAGATCAAAACATGACGGAACTACTAAGTAACTACATTGAGCAAGCGACTTAATTTGCGTTTTGAATTCTTACCCCACAATTTTAGAAGCGATATGATAAGTGTAACTAAGCTGTAAACTTTCACTTTGTTCAATTAAAGTTCTTTTATAATTATCATATGTTTCGATAGATCTTTCTTGGGTTTAAAGAGATCTGTGTTCAATTCATTGTACAATACTTTTCGATATTGTGTCTCGGTAGCTTGCATCTCTGCCCTCCTTCTAGGACCGAGGTATGTTTCGAACATTTGGATCACCCCCCCTCATAAAAGAAGAAAAAAAGAGCTCGTATCTCTGTTGCATATTCATTATCACGTAACTACTCTTTATAAAGTTGATATAATTTGGGAAACGTTAAAGATTCGTTAAAATATTGTTCATAGCTACAAGTCCTCAGGAAATCTAATTAGTCAAAAAAGTTCTCCAACTTCTTATCTGTTTTTTTCTGGAATCTCTTGTTAAAGCGCTAATTCATCATTCGTACCTTGGCTAGAATACTAGAGCAGATGTTCATATATACAAACAGGTCGGCTTTATTAAATAGAAAATAATTAGACAAGAGTTTTTGTAAGTCATACCCACATTATTGTCGGCGAGAAATATTAGTGTGTTTATAATTTAATAAGATGTTTAGTATGAAACTACGGGTACCGTGGCTTAAAATTATGTAGCTTAACCACATAAAGTAAAATGGAGGATGTCCCATTATCCAGGGCATCCAAATTAACTTTCAGTACAAAACATTCTCATTACAGAGTGTGACCGCTTCGATCTTCGGACATGTAGATCGCACTGTTCCATTGGACCACACATGTCACTCGGAGCTGGGGTTTTACAAAAAATGTTGTTTATGTGTTTATTATCCTTGTACTTAATAAATAATTCCAGTAAAATATTTACAGGTAGTGGGCGCTGCTAGAAGAAAAGATAGATTGGACGCTTTAGCACAAAAACTTCAAGGTAAAAAGGGCAAATTGTACGCAGTAAAAGCAGACCTTTCCAAAGAAGAAGACATAAAAGAAATTTTCAAATGGACTTCAGCAAATGTTGGTCCTGTAGCTATTCTAGTAAATAATGCTGGTTGCCACATGAAAACAGGTCTAATAGGTGGCGATACAGAAGCATGGAAAACCACTATCAATGTTAACCTTTTAGCATTGTGTATAGCAACAAGAGAGGCAATTGATATTATGAAAAAGAATAATATCGATGGTTATATTATTCATATTAATAGCGTTTTCGGTCATAACGTACTTAATATTCCTTACGTAGATGTATATCCAGCCACCAAATTTGGAGTAACTGCCTTGACGGAAACCCTAAGACATGAACTAAATGCACTCAAATCCAAAATAAGAATCACGGTAAGTAAGCAATTTCAATAAAGTAATTATACTAAAGTTTTTATCCAACCGGAGATTTTCACTGGCAGCTTCAGCATTAACTGAATGTCTTTCAGGTTTGGGCGACCATATATGAATCCACTTTTGTTGGTAGCTTGTTCATGTGCAAGGGAAAGGTTGTCTTGATCAATAGCTTTTATCTGCGCACAAAATGGCTACATATAAGTGTAACTAAACAATTTGATCGATCAATCTAAGAATACGGATCGTTTAACAATATACTCCTGTGACGTTTAGTAGTAATTTTTTATTTTATAAATGTACATCATTTTTGATGGGACAGAAGGTGCAGAGAGATAGAATCTTATATTGGAGGACGACAATGCACTGAGGCGTGGAAGTTTATAAACTCTGTTAAGAAGCCGACTAACGAGAAAGTGATTCTAAATCCCATAAATCCCGAGGATTGGACACATTATTACAAACATCTATTAAACAAGAACAGAGACAAATTTAAAGAAGATATGAATTCATCAAGAATCGAAATTCTGGGAGAGCATATTACCATAGATATCAACACAGTTCAAAAAGCTATAGCAGGGATGAAGAATGGGAAAGCAAGTGGACCAGAGGGAGTAACTACTGAATTAATAAAGAATGGCTCAGAGAAATTACACAGAATGATCACGGTGATATTTAACGAATATATTAATGGACATCCAACACCAGATGAATGGAAAACAGCATATATGACCCCAATATATAAAAAAGGTGACAGGAGAAATTGTAAAAACTATAGAGGGATATCGGTCACAAGTTCAATGAGTCGACTATACGGTCGAATACTACGGGACCTGATAGAGGAAGATTATCAATCGTCTGAAGACGAAGAACAAGGAGGATTTAGAGCAGGTCGTTCATGTACAGATAACATCTTCTGTCTTAAACAAATTATAGAAAAGAAAGTTGTGACAAATAGAGAGTTACATATGACTTTTGTAGATCTTGAGAAGGCATACGACACAGTCCCGCTAAATAAACTATAGGAAGTCCTGGGCACATCAAATATACATCAAACATTGGTTAGTGCTCTCAAAGATCTATATTATGGTTCAAACTCCCAAATGAAATTCGGAAATCTCTTAGCTGAAAAATTTGCAGTTACTAAGGGTCTCAGACAAGGATGTTGTATCTCTCCGACTCTGTTTAAGATTTATATCTCTGCAGCTCTGAAACAATGGAAAAGGAAAGTCAAAGGAATGGGTATACAATTGAACGATCAGGATTACATATATACTTTACAGTTTGCAGATGATCAGGTGGTGATCTCAAATGACAAAGACGACATGAAATACATGCTTAGAAAACTAATTGAAGAATACCAGAAATGGGGATTAAATATCAATTTAGAAAAGACAAAATACCTCTCAATTGGAGCTGAAGCAGAACAACTCGATATCGATGACAATCAAAAAGTAAATCCATGTGACGAATATAAATACCTGGGCGTCATCTTTGACCGTAGTGGAAAAGACGAACGAGAAATAGAACATCGAATTGTACAAGCACGAAGAGCTATAGCATGTTTGAACGGAGTTCTATGGAGTAAAGAAATATCAAAGAAAAGAAAATGGAACATCTATGAGACAGTGGTTAAAACTAGCCTACTTTATGGAGCTGAGACATGGAGAATAACCGAGAAATATAAGAAAAAGGTCGAAGCCACGGAAATGGATGCCATCAGAAGATCGATGAGAATATCAAGAGCCGACAGAATACGGAATGAAGTGATAAAACAACAAATGGGTATAGAGGGCACTATAGTTGAGGATATTGAGAGAAAACAGCTCATATGGTATGGACATGTGAGCCGAATGGGGGACGAAAGATTGCCTAAAAAAACGATGATGTGGCAACCCCCAGAGAAGAGGAAACGAGGAAGATCACCACAGAGCTGGAACCTGGGAGTTAGGAAAGCGATTAGCGCTCGAAATCTGGACGAAGACCTAACTCAAGACCGAATACAGTGGCGGTTGGGAGTCGGACAACGTCGTAAGATGTTATAAAACCGAATGTATATATATATACATCATTTTTCTAGATCGAATGTTCTAATTATGGTCAGCTTTGATTTTATAAATATTATGGCTACACAGAAAAGTTTCTTTAAAGATTATTGGATCAGAATATTTTTAGTTTTTCTCATCCAGTTTTATTTTGGAGCTAAGATTTTTTTGTCACTCACAACTGCTTGTGAGCTTTGAATATAATTGAGGTTAGAAGGATAATTGTAAGAGAGTTACGGTTTTAGATCAACCGATGATGTGTATGAATTCATATATGAAACGTCTTTAATAGAGGCTGGAGTAGCAAAATACCTTTTTGCTTTTCCCCACAAAGCCCACAAGTATCCTTGTGAACTATATGTTGGATCAAAATTGACGGCCGTACTTCTTTTTCCGTTTAATCAAATTATCTTGGAAACTAAAATAGTTTTTATTACATATTAATATATTTAGATACCATTTATTTTGTTTTAGAGTATAAGTCCTGGTGTAGTTGACACAGAAATAATAGCCGATTTTAAAGCATCAGAACATTTCGCCCTTATTAAAGATGCAATGTTAAAATCTGAAGATATAGCTGATTCAGTTTTATACGTCCTTTCCACACCACAACATGTACAGGTAACAATCATTATTTAAAAAATATACCAATCTATATACAAAGATCACTCAATTTTTTTATTTATTTTGTTCAAAAAGTAAAGTAGTGCTAATATTTTGATTTAAATAGCCAGAAGTTTTCTGAAAAAGAGTTTGGAATGTGTTTATCAAGTTTCCTTGCATTTTGGGATAAATATGACGGCCACAAAGAAAGGGTGAAGTTATAAATGTAGCTTTAATATAAAGTAAACACTTATAAATATAAACTACATGGAAAAATAATAGTTTATCTTTCTATTTTTTATGTAGATATAACTCTGTTATTTACTGTGCGTTAAGAGAATAACCTTGTCTTGTTTTATTGCTAGACTCAGTTGGCTCAGTTTAAAAGATCTAAGATTAATACTATTACAAGAACTAATATTAAACTCAACAGGCTTCCGGGTTGAACCGCGTCGATTATCACTGCGCCGACCTTTCGACATCCTGTCTGATGTTTTCTTCAGGGCTTTCGAGCCTCCAGACATTACCACGCTGATCACTAATCAGTGCATTACTGCTTCTGGGAACAGCAGACGGTTTATTTATACCGTAGATGGTGACATGGTTTGGGTGGAGGTTGGCGTGAGGGTTGACATGAGAATTGGCGCGGGAATTGGTGCAAACGTGTCTGACGGCAAGATCTTGATTGGAGAATGAAGCGGACGGTATTTTCTTTATGAGAGGTCTACATGTCGAAGTTAATCGGATGCCTGTACCTCTTTTATTGAGATCTTTGAGATACCTTTTTTCAATTTCTATGCCTTCTCGAATAATTCTTGATTTATAAAAGCGGATGGTCACTATGGTGTTAGAGTTTTCAAAATTAATTTTGTGATTTGCATAAAGATGGTGTTGCCCTAGAGCTGAAATTAAATCGAAATTTCGAACAGAAATGGAATGTTTATAAATTCTATTTTGGAATCTATAATTTATTTGGCTTATATAAGATCGCCACTAGGAGAATTAAGCTAGACAGAGATTTGCAAACTCCATTAATTAGAATTTGTAGAGGTGTTAGACAAGGGGATACAATCTCACCCAAACTATTTATTCTGGCATTGGAAGACATTTTTAAATCTATACTGTGACAATAAAGGCATTTGTATAAACGGGAAATATTTAAATCATCTAAGATTCGCCGATGATGTCCTCCTGATAGCAACAACTATGGAACAACTACGAATAATGATTTCAGACTTAGAAAAAATATCTCTTGAGAAAGGACTAACAATGAATCTAAAGAAAACTATAATACAGGAGACAGATCAGTAATTACCAGAGGTGGAACAAACATAGAACACGTCCAAGAATATATTTACTTAGGACAAGCTATCAGAGCAGACAAAAGTAACCAGACTAAAGAAATAACCAGATGAATAAGAATGTGGTGGGCTGCATTCGGAAAACTCTCATATACTATCAAAAATCAACAAATACCTTTAAAATTAAGATCAAAGATATTTAAACCATGCGTCCTACCTGTTCTGACATATGGTGCCCAGACGTGGACGTGTACCAAGAGCAACTTAGATAGAATAAAGAAAACTCAAAGAGCTATTGAAAGACAAATATTGGGAATATGGTTGAGAGATAAAAAGATGAATGAGTGAATAAGATGCAAAAACGAAACAACGTACGCTGTCGAACATGCATTGAAATTAAAATGGAAATGGGCTGGGCATAACGAAAGATATCAGAATGGAAGACGGACTAAAGCAATTTGCCGCTGGAGACCATATACTGCAAAAAAGTCAAGAGGTCGACCGCAAATAAGATGGAAAGATGACATTGAGCAAAGCGCAGGTCCAATGTGAAAAAGACAAACAGAAGACAGAGATAAATGGAGACAAATAAGAGAGGCCTATATTCAACACATGAATAGATTTTGGGCTATAGATAGATAGATAGATATAAGATCGGGGGCAGTCAGCACAAGGAATTTCATAAACTCCTTTGTTGTTCTTTTGGAATGTTGTTTTTGATTGATCGGATAAGAGATGAAAGTTTTTGTTTATTTTGTTAAAATATTGTTTTATTCCTGTTGATTTAAGAATTGTACCGATTTTGCCAGTGACACTTTTGATGCAAGGAAGAAAAGCTGTCGTATGATGAGGGTCCGGGTTTTCTGTTGAGATTGGGTAGGAGATTGGTATCTGTGGATGTTCCTATTAATGTGATTTTCGCCGTAACTGTTTTGAAAGAGATTTTGTTTTAAACTAGAGAGCTCAGCGATTGATATGGGTGAGTTTTTGATAAACGGCGTAATTAAAACTTGGTTTTTTTATGATTACGTCGAGAAACGATAGGGATGAATCAGTTTCTACCTCCATCGTGAACTGGATACTACATATGATGTATTATACCATTCAGATGGGATTGAAAAGACACCGAAGTATTCCTGCTCTGGGGCCAAATTATGCATGCATCGTCAATATATCGTAACCAACATGTAGGTTTAAGCATTGATGTGAATAGTACTCGGATCTCGAAGTCTTTTATAAAAAATATTGGCAATTAATTGGCAATTAACTGTAGAATTAATTTTGAAAGATGACATACATGTTAGACATAAAATGTTTAGTGAGAGATAAGTGGCTTTGCTGGATACTGTATTTAGTTTTCAGAATGTTAAGAGTTTCGTCTACAGGAATATTTGTAAAGAGTGAAACGATATCAAAACTTAGTCGAATGTTTAACGGTTAGATGGGGTATGGTTTAAAAAGTTCGATATAATGAAAATAATTCTTGACGAAGTATGAATCATTTTATACGAGAGGTTGTGAGAGATTTAGCCAACTACTTGGCTAATGGTTGTGCAGGGCAACTGTATGCACTGACAATGGGAGGTACAAGAATATCATGTTTGTGAATTTTGGGTAAGTCATATATTCGAGGTATTCTGGAAGGGTTTTCACGAGAAATTAGAGATTTGTTTATGTCAATAGGAAGAGATGATTAATGATATTTATATATCATTATTTATTTCGTTAAGCGTTAAAGATATAGTGCGATAAATAACTAAATAATTTTTTTCTAGGTCCATGACATCATCATCAAACCTCAAGGGGAATTTTTTTAAAGATAAACTTAAAGAGAAGTATCAAGTTGTTTGGAATAATTTCTAGTCTAAACAGTGTAAATATATTGTAATATTTGTTGAATAGGTAATAAACGTTTTTTTTCTATATGTTCTATTTAAACCACTTTTTATTTCAATCCAGAAAGACACTGAAAAAAAAAATACAAATTTCAGGGTACATAGGACCATAGGGTTACAATTGTTTCGTGCTTCACAGAATCTAACACAGTGGATTAGTGACTATTTTTAAACTCCTAGTTAAAAACAGAACTTTGAGAGAGTGAAAGTGAAATTCAATCTCTTCTCAGTAAAAATAATAAGTTATTGACTGATACTAATGGGTCACAGAATATTAGCAATATTTTTACTAATTATGATAAAAATATTATATTCCGTCTCCTGATTATCCAAAAACTGCATGTCGGCGTACGTTTTTCTAAAGGCTGCAACGAAATCATAGTATTCTCTTCCGTCCTGACCCCTCGGAGGCAGTGTAGTGGTCATGTGTATTGATGTGATATCGTGTATTGTCTGTTTGCAAAGTTCTCTGTCTCTGGTCATTTCTTTTAACTTAAATTTTAACTCAAATCATTGTACCATTCATTCCATAAAACACACAAAATCCCCTTGTATTTGTTCAGTTACAAAACTCGAAGATGCACAATACGGTGAGAGTATATTATTTACAAACTTGACCCGGACCGATCAGGAGGAAGGTGCAATTTTAAGAAACAATTAATTAATAAATATTAAACCAACAGTAAACGATGAATGTTTTTTAGTTACACTTATGTTTGAAATTTTTTCTATCTATACCAGTTCAAACCGTTAAAAAATAATCGAATTTTAGAAAAACTTAAAAGAATTTTATGCTTGACTTGATGGTCGAGGTTGTGTCTAAGGTTACTGTTATACACCAGTAACAAAAATTATAAATACACTTACAATGAAACTGTTTTGATTAGAGGTCGCAATGGTACTATCTATGAACCGGTGGGTGGGAAAAGTAGCTGTAGTGACAGGTGCGAGTTCAGGAATCGGCGCAGCAGTGGCCAAACAGTTGGTGAAAGAAGGTTTGCTGGTAAGTTACGTGCTTATATTGTCCTGGCTACATTATGTGTGCCAAACTACATATCGTCGGTTAAGAGTTTTAACCTGCCAACTCCAAAATGGTAAAGTTTTCCGGAGACAAAAACAACTTCTTAGTTTTTCCAAAAGTAATGTTGACGAAATTTTTTTATCACGACTATTTATTGACTATAGTATAGGAATTATTGAACTATATTTCTATAAATATTGTTTATACATTCAGTTTACGGAACTAAAAAATGGAGTTGGCTGATTTTTGAGAACATATGTTGAACCCCATCTGGAGTCGGCAGTTATATTTGTATACATGAAAAATTGAAAAAAAAATTTAATTGATGTATTTACGCTGAAATATAACATAGTTTTAATAAAACATCAGTAACTTAAACTCTTTACAAAATTAGTACTAGTTGACAGTACAAAAAAGCAAAACATAAAATTTAAAATAAAAATTGTAAACGTTATTACATCTACCGTTTTTCGTAAGGAACATTGTCATAATATTCATGTTAGTCTGCCAGTCTGCCAATACCCAAGACGCGATGCTTTAATTCTGCGCCAAGTTGTTGTCTTTCTTCCAGGAAACTGTAACATAATTCTTGCAGTTTTTCGCATCTTCAAAAAGGTTCTCTTCTAATCTTTTCAAAAGCGTACGATGTTCATGAGCGGTAGATATTTGGTCTTCCAGAATCTTGCTTTCTTTCGAGAGTTTCTTGATCTCTCCATCTTTTATTAATATTAAAAACTGTTATTTTTCTTACGTTAAAATGGTTCGCTACGCCAGATAGTGACCAACCATCTTCTAATTTCGTTACAAATTTTGCTTATCTGACAAATTGTAAGATTTGGCAGTGATAGTGACAGTATGTAAATCATTATTGACAACAATTAAAAAATGTTACATTATGTATATTGTTTTGCTTTCTGCTTAATGCAGTATAGTCACTGAGGGTTTTCACTCCGATTTCGTTGAACCTCCATCGATTTTCATGAAAGTTGGTGAGTAGTTAGAAGATGCCTTAAAAAACAAAAGTGATATGGTGTCAACTTGCGCTTTTACCATCGAGCAAAAAGACAAAAGAGGGAATCTAATCGTTATGAAAAGGAGACCAAAAAAGTGGCTTCTGATGGCGGACATATCCGGAAATGCGATACTTATTAACAGTAGCTATAAAATAGTTTTAAAAATGTGTCTAAAATGTGTGTCCTGAGACAGTTGGGACAATAACATAACATAACCCAATTAAATTTGATATCTTAAACAAGGAAAGACTCTCTTTCCTTGTTTAATGTGGCCTCTCAAGGCCTTCCTGTCTAACGATATTTTTGCCCCACTACCTTAACAATCCCTCTTTTGTCTTTTTGCTTGATGGCTTTTACCCTGGGGGTGGATGCCACCCGTTTTCGGCGGTAAAAATTATTTTATTAAAAATAACCATAGGAATCGATAAAGAGAAATCTAAACAAAATTTATCTTATAAAGTTAATAAAATAAATTAATACATTTTGAGTTATTAAAGATCAAAGATTTTGATTTTTCGTGAAAAAAAATGCATGTTTTAAAGCGGTTTTTCATAAATATCTCAAAGACTATAAGTTTTTATAAAAAGTTTTCATTATCAAAATTAAAGCTAATAAAAAATTAAATAAACTCCTTGCTTAAACAACTTTTTGGTATTAATTCAAAGTGAGTTATAGGTACTTAAATATATATTTATTTTTCGGTGAGTACTCAAATTGTAATATTCAAGCTTAAATAACGGGAAAACAATGCATTCTATAAAATATACTTATTAAAAAATTTTTAAAGTACATAGAAATATCTATAAAATGAGCTCTTGAAAAAGTTAGTAGCATTAAAATTAAGCAAGTTATGATGTAAATAAGAATTTTTTTGGAAAAAGTGAAAAATAAAATACAAAACTTCCCAAAAACTTAAAATTTATACTAATTCATATAAAACTTTCTTTATTTTAGCATCAGTAATGATCTCAAAAATTTTGACCGGTTTAGAATGCATATTTAAAAAAAAAATTTGATTTAAAAAAATCAAAATTTTTCAAATTTTCATAAATTTCATTTTTTTTGAGAATAACTCCATATATACTCAATATACTTAAAAAATTATAAAGAACAAAATTTATGATTTTTTTAACAAAGATTTTCCTTTTTTTATATATTTGTAAGATAAAAAATAACAGATAAAAACGTTTAAAACCTAAATTTTACTGCGAGAACTATGTAACCGGGGTCCTTTAACCATTTATCTTTTAACAAAAAGGATTTTAACAGATTAAATTTAATACGACTTTATAGCCCTTGAAATTACCTTTCAAATAGTTTTCGAATGAACCTGATATCATAAAAATTAACGTCTAGTTGACTGGGGATGGTGCAAAATTGAAGAGTCTTTGTTTCCAACTAAAAATCCCAATCCACCCGCTCCAGAAGAATTGTTAAAAATAATTTTTTGCAACTGCAAAAAAGGATGCGGCGCTTCTTGCGGGTGTCGAAGAGTAGGGTTATTTTGCAATGCAGTCTGCGGATCATGCAGTGGGGACAATTGCCAAAATAGCCTTCCAATTAATGAAACAGGAGAAATTGGTGAAGAGAGCTCTAATGAAGGGTGAAAAATTAACAATTAAAGTACTATCAATATTTGAATAATTTATGAAACATTACTTCAATAAAAAATGAATGAACTTTTCATATATTCTAATATTTATTTTAATATGTTTTCCTCTTAACTAACAAATTAAATTTTTTTTCCGCAAATCGCCAGGAAATTTTGACATTCCTGTCAAAATTTCTTGAAGAAAAAGTCAGGACTTCCTTACTGTAAGGAAATGTCATTTCCTTACTGTAAGGAAATGATATTTCCGTACAGTTGTTAGTGTTCTACATAAATTGTCAAGTTTGACAATTCAACCTCAATACGTTTCCATAGTAACCCAAGTAATTTTATTAGGAATTTCAAAGCACCATTTATTTGGGAATAAAATTATCGCGTTTTTTTTTTAAATCAATCAATATCTGTCGAATTTTAAACGATTTGCGGAAAAATAGTATGTTTACCTCCTAGGAAAAGCCACATTCCTGGACTCTGTGTTGCTAAGTCTCGGCTTGCGCCCATCGAGCAAAAAGATAAAAGAGGGAATGTAAAGGTAGTGGGGACAAAAATATTGTTAGACAGGAAGTGCTATCTTGAGAGGCCACTTTAAACAAGGATAGACAGTCTCTTTCCTTGTTTAAGAAATCAAATTTAGTTTGGTTATGTTATTGTTTGTCCCAACTGTCACATGAAATTTTATTTATATTGAAGTTTTTTACCAATTGTGTCACTTTTTAGACTATTATCATTAATATTTACTTAAAACTTTCTTGTCTGAAAAATATTTTACAGCTATTGTTAACAAGTGTTGGAAAATTTAAATTTAGCGCCTTTGCATTTCCGGATATGTCCGCCATCAGAGGCCACTTTTTTGGTCTCCTTTTCCTAACGATTAGATTCCCTCTTTTATCTTTTTGCTCGATGCTTGCGCCTCGACTTAGCAATCTTCACAGTCGTCCAGGAATGTTAAGCTTTTCCTACCCGGTAAACAATGTACTAATAAGTCACATAAGTACTGAAAAAATTTTTCAGGAAATGTGGAAAGAATAATATTAATAAAGATTATCATAACGAGTAAAAAAGTTTCTAATAGATTAGCTATTAAAGCAAATAAAAAAACATTTTCCATTATTTTAATTACAAAGCGTAATTTTTAAGGGTGCCAAATTACGTAATAAATAAATAAATACTTAAAATTAAAATAAATACTAAAAATATTAAATGGTTTCTTCCCCCATAAGAATATACATAAATTTACATGGACGCAGCCTACCAGGAATTTAAAATCAATAATTCACTATTTCATTCATCGTAAAGATTCTAAACTAAAAACGAAGGACGTGAAGGTGTTTAGAGGGCCAGGATGTGGAAGTGACCACCATATGATTATTGCAAAAGTAATGGTGACATTTAAGAGAGAACAATCAAGTCACAAAAATGATGAAGTAACAGACATAGGAACAACCATAGAAAACATAAAATATAACCTGGAAAGCTTTAAACAAGATTCGACAAAGTTCTTATATAAAATTAGAATAGCTCAGAAAATAAAAAATATAGAAACAAAGGACTTAGACCCCGAAAGTCTGTATGAGGTAATTAAAAAATATATTCATGAAGCGGCAAATGAAGCACTGGGAAAAGTTGAAAATCGGAAAAAAGGAAAACCTGAATGGTTGTCAACGGAACTAGAAGAGAAAGATCTCAAGAAAAAACAAGCATATCACATATGACTTCAATCCAAAGATCCTCAAGACAGAGAAATATACGCTAAATGGAATAGAGAAGTTAAAAAAGACGTGGATAAGGCGAAAAATATAAACTGGGAGGCTAAGTGTGATTAACTGGACAGATTTATGGGTGGAACAAAAGTGGCGCAAGCTTGAAAAACATTAAAACAGTTTAGGAAAAATGAGAAAAATGAAAACAACATTTCTCTCATAAAGTTAAATGAATGGGAAGAATATTATACGAAACTGCTGAAAGAGGATAGAGTAGAGTACAGATGGGAAAAGATAAGGGAATTAATAGACAACAGAGACGACAGACAGGAAATCCCTATAATAACATTATCTGAATTGACGGAAACCTTAAAAGAGGTTAAAAACGGAAAAGCCGCAGGACCTGGAGACATTCCCATAGAGCTGGTTAAATATGGGCCGACTGCACTTTTAGAATTAATAGTAGACCTTTTCAATAAATGTATGTGTGGAGACCAGGAAATTCCTAAAGATTGGAATAAATCTTATATAAGCTCCATATATAAGAAAGGGAATAAAAGAGACCGTTCCAATTATAGAGGTATTAGTGTGACGAGCTCTGTGGGCCGGTTGTACGGCAGAATATTAAAGAAGAGGGTTGAAAGACAGATACAAGATATTGAAGAACAAAGCGGCTTTCGTACCGGGAGATCCTGCCTTGATAATATATTTATCCTACGACAAATAATTGAAAAGCGTGTCGAAAGAAGTAGAGAGACCCATTTGGTATTTATACCCCTTGAGAAAGCATATGATAGTGTCCCGTTAAAGAAAATGTTTGAGGTCCTCAAAAGGTCCGGATTGGATTCGACGTATATCCGAGCGATATATAAATTGTACGAAAATGCAGTTAGTTGTGTAAAAATTGGAACCAGAACCTCA